TGAAGGTTTATAGATGATAACATTCACTAAACTACGTGAAAACGAAACAGATATACGATTTTAGAGAATTCCTTCAAGTCATTTGAGAACTAATTCTAATAGTTCCTGTCCAACGTAAAGATAACCTATGAAAATGGAATGATTATTCAATTATGTCATTATACCCGTAAAACGTTTGAGAACAGATAACTGAATCAGTCAAGAGTAAACTCAAAAAATCATAAATCACACAAATAGTAGAATGAGTACAAAAATGATACAGTGAAATCTTAGTTAGTAGAGTAAAGCACATAAAATTACAAACAAATATCAGGTTGAACGGCAGCGGATTTATAGACCAAGTCGGTTAGTCAGTCAAAATCAACACAGAGCCTGCCAAAAACATTTGCTAGCGTAAGTTGTCGTACTACAATAACACGACGAGATGAATCATAAAATAGATCGACACGATGTAGTAGTAATGATGAGAAAGACCAAGCATAGAGAATATGGTACGAAAAGACAGGATGAAAAGGTACGCGTCCTTGAGCGAATACTAGAGTTCAAAATCTAAAGATAAAAATATGAATGAATTTGTCCGATTATGAATGATCTTGCGTTATCTCGAGCAAGGTTTGCAATCATTGATCAGGGTTATCATGACAACTCTAATCAAGTAGTCTGCAGCCACCAACATGGATAAGACGAATAGTTAATAAATTGGTGGATTGATGGCACATTGTGATTTGGTTACCCCTAGCATTTGTCCAAATGAAACGAGATTTCAGAAACATGTCATACAATATAAATAAAATCAGGAAAAATACATGAATGATACATTTTCATCAATTTCTTACTATTTCAATACAATTTAGACAGATAATAATTAGATCACCTGTAAGCTTAAAGCTTTAACATGTGCTGGTATCAAAACAACTGTTGGATCATGTACTAAAGCTTCCAAGTCAGATGACATAAAATCGAATACCAAACAAATACACCTATCCTGACTGAATACATCAAGCAGAGTCAAAACATTGGGATGATCAATTTCTTTAAGAATTTTAATTTCTCGAATAGCAGATAAATTCATGCCATCAGCTAATACCCAACGTGGACCTGCTTTAACCTAGACAAAGCAAATAAAACGGATGATATAAATAACTATTAATGAAAAGTGTTGAATGAATCTAAAATCATGACAACACAATAAATGTACATTCGCTAAATTTCCCCGAGACATGATATTAGCACAGATGGTAAAAAAATATTTTTAAATAATAATGATAATGTAATGAGTGATAATGAAACACGAACACATAGAGTCACATTCAAAATGAACGACTAAAATTGTGGAATGAAATACCATTAAAACACAAAATTTAGAAAAAAGAGTAACATAGACATACAGTACTGCCAATCAAATCGATCTGTACGAACAACTACCACGGTGGTGTATGCTACTTATGTCTGTCGACGTAAGTAGTAAATAGCAGCAATCATAAGTGGAATATATGGCAACAGGAATGAAGGAACGATAAAGTTGGTAAGTGACGATTGATGAAAGATGTGCAGATGAAGTATTGGATGTATGGTTTTCATATTTTAAGAAGACACTGTAATTTTTCATTTAGCGGTAAATTGGTTATCCTCACCAAGTCATCGTTCACTACATTAATACTAGAACTACTACTACACAAAATTACTAAATTATCAATTTGAAGAAACATCACTAAGAAACTCATATTAATGCAACTCATTAATTAAATGGATGCATTCTGTAATGAGCTTAAAGTCACACTATTCATGTATAACAGTCGCCGAAGCTATCTGTTCAAACCATAGTGGACCGGGATTTGAAACGGTGAGTTATACTAGAAAGTACTGAACGAATAGTAGATTAAAACTTTGTATGTGTTTCCATTTTCAGTGACCAACAGAAATTTTAAAATTAAATTAAATGGGACATGATAAAGCAGAATACACAATATATGAAAATGAATTTCGTTCTCTATTTTCTCATAGTAATGTTAATCAGTCATACGTGAAGTACAACCTAGGACATATGTATATCGGTTCAAGTTTCCACACCCCATTGGCAAAACGAGATGAAGTCGCCTAAACAAATCCGAGAGTGGTACAAATAATAACACTATTCATGACGGTAGAAAAGATTAAGCATCGGAAATACGATTCGTAAAGTAAATATAGACTGGTGGAAAACAAAGAATGAAAACACTTGTGCTATTGTAGTAAAGCGGTGGAATTAAATGTACAAGATTTTCAGGATAGATAAAATGGAGTTGTTTAAAAATATACGTGTCAACTTTGTGGATTAAGGTAGTAATTTTAATATCAGTATTGTAGTGACTTCTTTTGTATTACAAAACTAGACAATTTGTTCCAACTTTTAAACAGATGAATTATTCTGATCTTTTCACTTATTTCGTCATTTATACATGTGACTTTGAGCATGTGTATATTAAAGTATGTGTCGAAATGTTCGCTTGTTTCCTTCATGCCTATAAATATTAAGTCACGTTTTCGTTAAATTGATTAAGGATATCTGACTTCATTTATTATTACTTAGTCTATCTAGCGAAACGAGTGTATGAAATATAAATATCCGAAACATTCATATCTAACTTTTAAATCTTCATTATTATTAAAGTGATTTACCGATAGAACAAGTGTGACGTAGGTAGGATCTATATTTCGTTTGCCTTAACAACTCGGTCATTTTGAAGTCAGACTAAGAGTAACTAAAGTATCTTAACATTTGAATTTAGACATTTACATTGTTAATAGGAAATTTCATTAAAGATTCTTAACTGAAAACATTTATATGAAATATCCTTAGTAGAAACTGAAGTATACAAATTATTATCGTAACATGACATTATTTTGTGTATGGTAGGATTCTATAATTTAAGGAATGAAATGATGTTATGTTGGGAAAAGAAAACAAATTTGCTTAACCGGATTGTGTGTAGTCGGGACTTAGTGACAAGCATGCAGTTGTATGATCGCTCTTTTTATCCCTCAGTTAGTTTACTTATATTGCCAGTAGGATCAGTCACCTTCTAGTTACCGATCAACGTACATCGCCCAATGAACAAAACCCAACAACTTAATGTGTATTTCTCCTGAAGCTACTTCTAACCTAGTGGTTAATCAGAAGACGAAGAGTCAATCACAATTCGAAACTCAAACAATAGTATGCTTGAAATGTCTGATCACGTGTATATAACTTAATAATAAATCTGGAATGATAAGAAGTATGACAACGGTACATGAATTAAACGAAAGCTAGGAAGAGAATATAAAAACACAATGGTTTAAATGTTTGTTAACTATACAATAAAAATATAAATAATAATCATACGTACGATAATCCCACAAGTTCTACTCTCATACTACTAGTCTCAATAGATTAAATAGTGCCGATTAACAAAGGAAATGTAATAATACAATGTGGCCGTGAAGTGATGGTTGTTCATGAGGCTGAATGATTGACAGAAGCCCTTAACTGAATTGATATCAGAAGATAAGACAAATGTTCAGTTGAACAGCTTTTCTTTTAATTAAACTACACGCTCACATACAGACTACTGAATACAAGAATAAATAAGACTTAAGGTTATTTAACAAGTAGACGATTAGGGAGAAATCACAACTATAAGTTATACATTATCTAATAGAATTAATACTCAAATATTAGGCTTAAATCTTAATCTTATCGTACCATATATCTTCAATACAAAATAGTTGGATATTTTATTTTGTTGACTGAATAATGCATTTTAGCTTAAAACACTGAATGGTAAGATACATAATCAAGATATCATTTTATTATTGAAATAATTGATGAGAAATACATTTACCTTTTTAATAGCTACTAATTGTCCATTTCTATTATTATCCTGAGCTAAGAAAACATTAGCGAATTGACCTTCACCAAGATAACATACTTTTTCATAACGAGAATTTTTACTAGTTTCATCTACAAATATATCCATGCTAAAGTTGAATTACAAGAAGAAGAAAAAAATAGCTAACATTATGTAATCAGTTTATGTGAATCATGAAACAATTGGTAACATTTCGGTATACAACAGGTACTTATATTGATCCATGGACCTCGGTGTTGATGAAGTATGGTTTGATATAATCAGATCTAATGAACTGAATCAATTCAAAAGACCCTATAAAATAAGTAATCCGACATATCAGCCACAATTATTTTCTAACTTCTGTCCTATGTAATCACTGCTCATACTCTACACTAAAATATTTTATTACAAAAGTCAATAAATACACCTTAGTATAAACAGTGAAGTCTATGATCTGGTTGTTTACAACAACAGAAAATCTGATTTCACAGATATGATGATGAACTGTTTTATTCTATCATCAATTTATTACTGTAAAGGTTATTAAACCGTCCATCTACTGACAATCACATAAGAATTATTAATATATTAAATAACATGAAAAAGATCACATATGAATAGTTGAACTGTTATTGTGAGAGAAAAATCGGAAACAAAAATACTACTAATTGACGTGCAAATCCATTCAAAAGTCGTCCAGCTGAATCCGAAAAACGGATCTATATTTCAGGAGGGCTAATCAGAAATAGCCAAATGATAAGTGCAAGTGTTTGGGCCAAGATATAGTTTTTATTTTCAAGGGATAAAATTTAAACCACTCGTAGACTTAAATTCTTAAGGGATATATGCATATATATATCATTCAGTTTGGGCAAAGGAATATCCTTTATCCACCTTTTCTACCTGGTAGTTAGGCACATGCAGACCATTATCAACTCTGGGACATTGCACGTCACAATAAGTCGATCGGTCTATTGGCGTGCTTCGAAAATTATCTTTAAACTAAGGACATCTTCCGTACATTATCGAATCAAAGAGTAAACATACATGCTAATTACACACACACACACATCAAACATACATACACAGACAACAAACTGAGAACTTTATATTAGAAAAGATTAATTAAGTACTAACATCATTATTACAATTTACATTCGACAATACAGAATAAAAATCGAATTTGAAATGGACATTTATATATAGATGAAATAAAACATGAGATCTTGTCGGTATATTCAAGGACTAAAAATTAAAGCATTAGAATTCTTTCCACGTCAATGGTAAATCACAATATATACACATTGGATGAAGTATCATTGAACGCCAAGCGGATAAACGATCTAATGACAAATGGTTTGGAGAATAAAAATAATAATAGCTAAACTGATGATTCAACGGTAAAATAGAAACAATACGACCTATAGATAATTATATTTGGATTACAGACCAGCAGTGGAATCAGTAAGGCACGTTTCGTCCATTTCTAAGATCGTCAACTGGATGTACCGCCATCCTAGTATTAATATCCACACTATGACCGAAAAACAGAATCTAACACTACAAACGCAAACGCATTATCCGTTATACTAATTAGTTCAGATAACTAATCGCTTTATCAACACGTATTACGTCTACTCGTATCAGTGCTAACCACTTCTAGCCAAAATTCAAATGTACTAAAACTTATAGCGAATTGTTATATAGAGCCAATCCCCTGATGATGTACATATGCCAAGACGGATGAAAATTCAGTACTGAATGCCAAACAAAAGAATTAACAATGGATTACGATAATTACGTGGGAAATAATCACATGTCTACAATTTCTGAAACATCTGTGTTGAATATTTAAATAATTCACAGATTGATAGTATGTTTTGATTTGGTTGCATATAGCATTTTCCCGATCTACTGGAATCACAGCTACAACTCCACGTCGAAGTAGATGATGGCTGAACATCAGTAACACTGTCTAAACGATATTAGAAGATGGACGTTGAAGAACTGATTAATTAATTTACGATTGTTATATTATTAAACGTCTATTTTCAATGTTATACACTTAACGGTTCCAGCATATACGAGAAAAATATCAAAGATATTTATAAACAAACACTAACAAACGACACATGTCCGTGAAACTCAATATCAGTTTAGTATTACAGATAGAAGAGATGTGTACAGTACTAGTCGTTCTATAAGACGAAGACTGTATTTACTTTCTTCGTACCGATTTGTTTCGAGATATATTTCAGAGAACCAAGTATTTATGAGTGTGTTTCCCAATTGTATGCAAGTAGATAGAATAATAGTGAGTCCAATTCAATCAAACACTGAATATTATAGACAAAAAGAACTCCATGCCTTTTAAATTATGAACATTTGTCAAATACAAATCTGATAAATTTGAATCAAAAACTTCTATCAATATACAGCAGGACGTCAATAAACGGGTTTACTCGAAACGTGTTGATCGGAAAACAAATTATAGTATGTGAATTGGTAATCTACTTGGAATTTCCGATCAGGTAGTTAGAATCAATGGTCAGACGAAAACAGTGACTTGGCTGAAAGTTTATTATGATAATCCAGATAAATTCGTTCTATGCGGTGTCTTAGAATGCAGTAATTGAGTAGTACCCTAAGCCCATCTCATTTCATATATCGCCTGATATTTTAAATCAAACTAATGTAATCATTTTACGAGGATACAAACAGTAAAATAAAGATCATTCACGGTACAACGATTATGAATGCAAATCAGATTAATGTAGGAGGTAGAAAACCAAGTTCATCGATAGCAAACATAATTGAGACGGGGCACAAATTAACATTAATACAGCATTTAACGTTGTATAGATATTGTCAAGGTCGAATTCTTAAGTTTATTGAAGCCTTAGCTATTCGTAAATTTGAACCCCCCTTATTTACAAAAACAATTTGTCGTAACCTTGAATTTACCTTGGTATCCTTAGTCATTCTATGGCCTAGGATAACGCGAAAATTTCTTATTCTTTCTCTCCCCTTAGTTATTTTAATTTACTTTTATTTGTTTGACCTTTATTAATTTTCATATAAAAATGCCTTGACAAGTATATGTGTGACCAGATTGTTCGAAATGTATAGCGCAAATATCACATTTTTCAGATCAACTCCGTCTTCTCATTGTTCTATCGATATTCAGTAGTTGTTAATAACTAACATGAATAATCTTACATTGATATAAAACTGAAAAATGCATACATGATCGAGGAAAAACAGATGTCATTTATGCAGAAATGCAGATGACAAAAACAGGCTTATTATAACTTTATTTGTGAACATCATTGATGTAGCAACACATCATTTGGTATTTAAACTAGGTTTCATGCAGTAACAGTTTACTATTCACAATGTCAATCAATTATGTATTGATGCAAAAAGTAGGATATGAGTATTTATTCAAAGAGATTTTAACTAGATTGAGACTTATGAAATAACATGAAGAGTAGTGATAATAATCTTCAAAAATCACACAATTCTACATCATACCTTGAGGAGATACGCTAAGAGCTACACGATTACACCGACTGCAATGACGAAACATAGGATCAATGCAAGGTTCCAGAGATTGCATGCAACGCTCTGAAAAAAGAAATGTACGAAAAAAAGAACATTAAACCAAAAACGTTTAGGTATTTTTTGTATTATACTATTATCCAATTCAGCTACTGATACATACGCTCTTGTATGCGTGCCTAAATCAGATACGTAAAGTGAGAAAACCAGGAGTAGGAAGCTTTTATTAGCCAACTGAATAAGGAAAAAATGTACAACTTATTCATAAATACATATCTTTATCCCACCGAAAATAAATTTACACTTTCAATTGTATGAACTGAGATGGTGGGGTACATTAGTACAATACTTGTAACCTCTTAACACTTGTCTGATGAATGTAATTATTATTAGTATAATACTGTTTCCTTTAATTACCCTCTAATTAATGATATAAGAATTGTACTTTAAGAATAGTGATTTGGATTATTTTTTCTTTTTGTGAGATCAAATATTTTGGTTATTACAATCTTTGTTTGCTTATTTGAATGAGAAAAATGTGTGGTTGGGGGGTTTCATCAATTTAGATGCTTTCTACAAGGTATACAAAAAAGTGAATAGGTATGGATTTGGATGTTACAGAACCGATATGAATTGCCTTAAATTGCTAGTAATTTCTGTCCTATATTTTATTGTTATTATTGCTAGTTCATATAGTATGCCTAAACTGAATTTGTATTATCGTATAATATAAAAAAAAACTTCATTAGTGATTGAAAATCCGTGAATATATGTCATTTAATAAAGTAGACACAATAGTTCTTAGACATAACATAATAGACTGACAAATAAATTCATTCATTATGTACCTCGACTAATACATGAAACTATAATGAACTGTTATTTGAAAAATAAACTAAGCAGATTTCTTTATCACCATGTGCTTAGCTTATCAACAATAAACTGAATATATATATGTTGTATTTAAGACAGATTGATTTTAATTGGGATACTACCAAAAACAAGCGAGTATTAAATAGTTGTTTCGTTGTAATGTGGGAATCTTCAGTGCTAAGCAACCATTACCCCTAAAGAAAAGGTGCAATATATGAATGACTCACCAAATGGATGGTTTTGAGAGCAATTCAAATAAATTAGGTCCGGAATGACATGTACTAAACAGAAAAGAAAAATATATCCACCATACAACTTAAGGAAATAGATTGTACTGTAAACACGACTATATTCATCGTTTCTAGATCAAAATATAGAAGAATAAAGTAACCGATAGTTCATACACGCCATTTTTTTAACTGTCAGTATCCAACGTATGTAGATTAAGTTAAACAAACTGGGCTTCAAACGAAAATACTTGACTAGCAAATAGTTGTAGTGTACAGTTATAATTAAAATAGGTATACAAATAGAATGTAGCACTGAAATTGATTCATAAAAAAGAAACATTCACCAACTTGCAGCATATGTTTCTACAATCATAAAACTCCACTCATATAATAGAATAATCTAAATTGTGTCAAATAAATGTTCATTTACTGAGCATTGAGGTAGACGTATTACGTCAGCGTCTTTGATATTATCCAGGTTTACGCTTTCACCTTGATTTGGAGGCAGCCATACATACATACATACACTTAAACAACATTAATAGTATAAAAAGTATTTTTTAGGCAGAGATGGATGGCGACTAGCAGTGGAACCCATGACGCCCGTTTCGTTTTATTCAAGGCTTGTCAACTCGATCAGCCTGCATCCCATAGTTGATGTACACTCTGAAACTTAAGCTCGGTACCATTCGCTCCAAACACCATAGCATCGACATTTTGACTGTCGACTGTATAATGGTTAATTTTAATGAGTAAAACATCAAGTTTTTATTCTCAAGGAATGTGAATATAGAAAGAAAAACTATACTTGATCAGTCCAATATTTTTATATAGACGCATATAAATTTCTTACTATGCATTGGAGAGTAGTGTGGATGATGAAAGTTAAATTGAAAACCCTATTTTGTTCGATTATATTTATTATTCTAGAAAATTTTTGAAAGAAATTAAATTAACAAATACATAGAAATTTTAATATATTCAGTATAATAAAGAACAAACAAACAAAAGGATATTTTCTGAGCATATTGGACATTTCTGTAATTGATTGGTGATATTTTCATATGGAAATTTAAAACGATGCACATAGAGTTGTATAGCTAATTGGTGAACATTTCTAGCTAATTGAGGTAAATCTTTGACAAAACATATATATTTATTCGAAGTTCCATTGACAATCATTGTATCATCTTCGTTTTTATTAGATATACAACTAGATACAGCATCAATGGTGGTAGAGGTAGTGGTCGTCGTCGTTGTCGTAGTGCTAGGTGTATTAGTCAATGTTTGTGACGTTGGTCGGAAAATATTTAAAGTTATTGTGGCCATTTGTGAAACTAATAAACAATCTGTTATAAGTAGAAACAAATTTTAAAAATATTGAAAAATGAAATTATTTAATAATCAAATAATAACAAATATGAAAACCATTGATACAAGAAAGTGACATTGTTTGTTTGATACTTAATTCATTTATCTTAAGGTTAAATCAGTCGAATATAAAGTATGGATTTGAAAGTAAATCTATGAACATTTGTCTACTATTAGTAATTCGTGTTGAAAACACCTTAACATAATAGAATATTAATAGGAAGAAAGCAATAAATTCACCGATAGTATGTATTTCGCAGAAACTTAAAGAATCATCAGGAATAAAGATAGTTTAATATACAAGAAACTAGTATTAATCACACTTTTAAACCTTAAACATTCATCACACTTTCAGAATCCATAGTTACCATAAAGATATTTGCTTTTCCATTACTGTTTGCATCACTATATAATACGCGAAAGTTTTGTCATGTGAGATTACCAACAGACCATATTCTTGTAGAAATAATAGAGATGGTCCTACAAATACTGATTTCCTTCTTTTTATTAGGCAGATGGATTCAAATCAGTTCAAATATCGTCCTTTTAGTATACACTAAACTAGTACAATTCAGAGAACACACACTTAATATCTACATTTTAAGCATGACTTTTGATAGATAAAAACAATGTATTAAAAGATATTCAAAACAAGTGAGAAAATGACTGCTTGGAAAGTTTTATTTGTCTGCGAATTATCAAAAGACTAGTAATTATGTAACCGTTTGAAAAATGTGATTTTATTGTTGGAAATGTAAAACTACCATCAATTCCCCATAACTGATAAACTAAATGATTTCTCGTGAATAATATATATAGTTTACTATGTAATGCTTCGTGTTATTTAGCACTTGTCAGTAAAGTGTACTGGTAAACTTGAGTGATCTGATACTACCTGGAATAGAAGTTCATGCTAACAACACCATTAAATATAAACAGTTCAACAGATTCACTCGAACAAGGTAAAATGGAAAACAATACATACCACGTGCTTGTCTTTGTATAGAACATTTAAGAAATAAACGAAAACATCGTTCCAAATGACGTTGTTGGATAAAATTATCTAAATTAGTCAGCCAAAGTTGTGCACGGGACTGGGGAAAAAACACAATGAAAAAGCCTCAGTCAGACACAATCGATACTGTCATTCATAAAATTTAAGAACAGGACAGTGTCAGAATAACAACTATTCTTCTAGAAAAAAAAACGAAATAAATTTCTCACTTTGACAGATTCATCGGTGTCTTTGTTGAGCATACACAGAATAAACCTGAAAACAATATTAAATATTATGATGTTACAAAATCCTTGGAAATATCATAGCTAATTGGAATATAAGAATACAATTTAACGGACAGAAACTAAAGATGAAGCGAACTCTTTGAATAACTGGTGGAAAAGTGTTGAATTCTTTTTAAAAAGTTTCCTATGAGTAGTACAAAATTTTTAGAGTACCCAAATGTACCAAAAGTAATGTATATAATTAACGAAACCATCCGCCAATTCCCCTACTTTCAATTATAAGTATTGAAATTCCACATTTGAGTTATAAGAGAAACACTTAGTTTAGTTAAGTACATTGTAGAGACTAACTTAATATCAAGAGGATTTTCATAAAAGACTGATATTAGCTACAAAGTCGTTTAAATCCATCGAGTAATAGACAGTTACTGGTAACATGTATTAAGTTGAACTTCTTTAATAATTAGCATCCAAAGTCCTCAATCGTGACCAAGCCAAGAACCGATAAGTTCTTCTATTAAACCTTGTTAGTTATGTAAGTAGTTAGAGAGAACTAATAACATTGATAAATATATATTATTCTACTTGATCTGTTTCTTTAATCTCCAATGGTTTACTTTTACTCTCGAAAATTATTTCGTCCTTTTTAGTATATTTGTTCCCGTTACAGAATGCCATGTTTTGTGTAAGATAAGAAATTTTACACGTCACTGCAGCTACCTTTTTTAAATAAGATTTAAGTTCACCATCAGCTAACCAACTGACTTCGTCAATCTAACCAACAACCAACAGACCTTATTGTAAACAATAGATCAATCAATTATTAAGTCGAATACTATAATAAACACTTATGGCTAACCACTGAAGGGGACATTTTTCAGAATCAGTTGTAATGATAACGAGGAAGCTCATTAGAACAGTTTTTTTTACGTTAAAGGTCATGGTAACAATTAAAACTACACCTGTAAATTTGAAGCGTTGTAAGTGGCTTATTCAACCAACTATGAGGAAACGAAGAATCAGTGAGACAAGCCTGGTGAAAATCAATTTTCTCCAAACATATCTGTCGTAAATCTGTTGTATTGCTAGATGAATTATCAACTTTGTCGTTTGATAAATGCCATCTTTGTAGTAACTCTTGTAAACAATCAACTTTGCGATTCAAAGGTAATTCAGGGTTAAATATAATTTCTTGTAAACTATCATTTGACCAAAACGATAAAAAATGGACCTAAAATTGAATGAGAGATAAATTAAGGCTGATAATTGATAAAAATTATGAAGAACAATGTAGCTAGTGATAAACTGGATCTACAAAGTATAATAATTGACTAGTGTAATCCAACATGAAAATATTACACTAATATTTACAAACGTTTACTTTCCTACACAACTTTTCTAATAGAAAGAAAAACAAATGTAATTAGAAGAAAAGTCACAATAGTTCATAATCAAGTCCTTATTAGCACTACTACTCATCAGTAATAAGAATTACAACCTATTCAAGGTGAAATTCATAAAACACATATTGAAATCCAATAAAAACATAAACATATGTACACATTCATAAAGAATTACTAACTCTAGGTGAAAGTAGAGCACTGCGTCGTGCACGATTATTATCTAAATAATTGCATGGTCTGTAAAGAAAAAGAAAAATAAGATATAAATAATTTGAACTCATTAAATTACACTGTCCACAGAGTTAAGTGGTTTGAATAGCTTTTATTTTAATATGTGAGTGCGTATACAACATTGTCAATAAAATCAATCACTATGTCATCTCCGACCTTTAATTATCTATCTTCATCATATGGAAATAATTCATAAGGTTTACAAGTATCAGAGTGATAATTGTTTTACTCGCCTTTTCGTACCAATACAATGTACGCTTAACTGGTAACCTATAACACAAAATTTATTTGGTTACTACTGCGTTGTAAACACTAGTAATGACTAAATACGAAAGAAAAGAATACTATCAAATATCAAATGACAAAAAAATGGTTAAATAATTAAATACAACATACTTTTCAAGAAAACATATATAAACCCCATTCGTTGAAACTGATAATCCATGAAATTCCCAATGGATTACATCAGATTTATCGTAATTAGAACTACACCAAACAACTTGCCAATTCAACTTACCTACAATAATAATAATATAGACAAGGAAATTGTTATATACATGAAAAATACAAGAATACGATATACAGTATACCCCATAAGTTGGTCGAACAGAAACTCAATGGTTAAGAGGCTTGACGCAGATACACTACAAGGGCTGTATGAACCCCCATTCCACCTAATTCAATTCGGGTAACTGAATAGCATCACTGCCCCCACAATTAGAATATGAAACAAAATCAAGCACACAAATCTGTAGCTGATATATGAGTTTGAAAATCGCCTCATTGTTATAAACCAAATGATGACAGTTGTGTAAAGAATAAATAATATTAGTTGATCTCTTTTCAAAAATCTGTCAGACATTTGTTGATTGTCCGGACCAATTACCTGGATCGGTGTAGTTAGTCAATTCAGTGGAATATGAATGAAGAGCGAAGATAATGAGGCTGATAATCAACTACAGTTTTGCAACGATCCTAGAGGTACAACGACACACAAAGAAACAAAACTTATAAAGGATTATAAAATAGTGAATATTAAATCCAGAATGATTATTTTTGATTTGAACATACAAACGAAATATTTCGGAGGGGGAAATTGGTTTTTATAGTTTGTTCATTCAGAAAGTAATCAACAAAATTAAACACATACAATTCATTCATAAATGAACTTTTATTTAAAATGAAGTTATGAATCTTAATTATTTATTTCTTATTCTTATTATGCTTTCATATCAGTTGTCATTGTCTGATCTTTCAAAAACTAGTCGTATAAACAAACTGGCAGCGTAGCAATGAGGTCACTACTCGGCTCACTTCTAGTTGATTGTTTCATTGTCAATCTCGAAAACATTATACTTAGACCGAAGTTGTATGATTTTAGATGTTTACAAACATCAATGAAATTTAGATAATAAAATGTACCAGATAAATAATTTAATCTTGAACCGTATACGTCCTTTTTTGGTTATGTGAGAGCTGTCTATGTATGATATTACCTGACTATCTAAACCAAAAGAGGCAGAGATGGATACAAAAACGTGAATTCTGTGGTTGAAAGCTAAATGCTTCAAATATTACGCCACTTGCACTACTGAGTCTGAATATTGTATTGTGTATTGTGAGGAGAAATAATTTTTTTGTGTTAATGAAAGCTTATATGTATAGATATGAATAGACTCAGAATAGTCAACACGTTGAAAACAATATTTCTTGTATTCATTGAAGGATTATTAATGACGAAGTCATTTAGTTCAAATAACCAGAAACACTGATAAACAATACGAAGGCGTTATCTTTGACTTATAAATTAATTTAAAGTTCTATTAAAGTGACTTTTGAAGAGCAATTAAAATGATTGTAGACATTTACATTTCATAATAACACTAGTGAAAATGGACAAGTGACAAATACTTGGAATCATTGAAAAAAGATACATATGTGAAGGTCTACGATCAAATAAAAAAAGAATCAAGGGAAATTTCAACTGTTTGTTTTTTTAAAACACATATGGGTTAAAGATATACATATAATAAATAGGTCAATTTATTCACCGGGTGCATGGGGTATGAGCCACACTAAGTGAAAGTGAGAGCTTTCACAAACTGAAGTAGGTGGAGCGACGTTTAAATCTGGAATTTGGTGACTGAAAGTTATTAAGCTACCGTTCCATGTTATTTGCAATACAATGAATTTACCAGGACAATTTATAAGTTTTTTGATAAAAAAAAAGTAAGGAGAACTGAAACCGTTTAATAATATTTAAAATTCTGTGAATGAATCACCCGCCTCCTATCCTAAATTAAAGAACGCCCTTTATTGTTTGAAAACAAAAAAATGATACAATACTATATTCCACTAAAATAGAAAAAAATGAAGTGGAAAAGAGATAGGATTTCAGAAAATGAAAGTTGGAGCCTATTCTATTTCCAGTTTAAATTGGATAAATCTATAAATTCTGCAGGTAATTTCATTGTGAGAATATGTTGTCGTTATATATCACACTATTCTGAGATTTTTAAAAATACATCATTTCCAGAAACAAGGGATGGAATGATGGTTTCTTTTACGAAGAATCGATATAAAGGACAAGGTCCTAATTTATTGCAGAGTGAGTGACCTATAAAATTAATTTTCTTCAATCATATATAAGATTTTATTCTGCTTATTTTCCTGTTAATATGTTGAGTACAATCATGTTATTTCAGAAATAAAATAGCCAATTCACGTGTAAAGCTTCTTATATTCTGATATCATTTCAGTTGGAAGCTTATGACAATAATTCGATTTCGTGACCAGGCATTACATGGCCGTATATCATCTATTGAACGGAATTCTATTTATTCAGTTTAACAATTAAAACCCTAATTCATATAGCAGATCCTGAATCATAACATGAATGTTTGTTACACAGAAAAATTTTGAGAGTTTTTAAGAAACTTTATTAAAATCTTGTCTATTTATTTATTTAAACACATAAACATTGGTACAAGGAGGCACCAAATAGATATGCGTCATACTTCGTCATTCGATTTGTGTGAAGTCTAAAATACTACCCGGGAGCTCAAAGAAAAGCAGGTGGTTTTCTTAGGGAGTCAATCCATTTGTCTTTGATCTAGAAGTCTAAACCACAAGACAGTGAGGCAACGTTAGGTGATCCGGTCCCATGGTAGCCGGTCATCAACAATAGGTTCATACGCTATTTGTTCCCTTAGGATAATGGAGCCTATGTGCACCATTGATTTGGAATCAGGGTTTTCCAACTCCATTAAGTGGATGTTCCGTAAACACCAACCTGGTGAAAGCACCGGACAACCTCTTTCCATCCTCTCATTTTCGTAAACAACATTTTCTGAGAGAAGGCAGTGAACAGAACTTCTCTAGGAGTGTGTATATACGCGTGACCATATGAGAGCATTTCGAGAGGGAGAGACGACTTTCCCCACTATCATCTGTAATAGAGGGTTTGGGTTGTGAAGATTGGTTCAACTAGTCAAACGAACAATAAACATGTGATTAACAGCCGATTAACGTCAAAATAAATTCTGAAGGTTTTAGAACGATTTCATAACTGGTGGAAATGCGGTAGGTACCATCGATGTCAAGATGATGGCCATATTATGTCGCAAAATTAACTGACGCCGGAAGCATGAAACAACGGTATTTTTTAAAGTAACATGCTTTCCATGAGACATAAGCGGTTTAGATTCATCCCCTGTTGAATTAGTGGGTCCACACCGTTGACGAATTTCAAACTACAGTAAATGATCTGTCTGGTCTAACCTAGTTTTCAATGGCTTCCAGACGAAAAGTATCTCAAAATTTATCATAATAAAAGAACGATGAAATATTCTGGATTTTTTTGTAGTTTTTCAATACAAAATGGTGCAGCAGAATAGATCTATCCCAGAGATCAGTTTAAGAATGAAACACGAAGACATTCTCATATATATTGATCAATTTATTTATTTCACAAACTGGTTCACACCTAAAACGTAGATGATCTAACAAATCTTAACATTATTTTCTCTTTAAACATCACTTGTTATGCAACTGGCGGGATAAATTAACTGAATGTCAAAAAATATGTACACTACCCAGTAAATAAATAAAATAAAGATAATTATTGAAATTAGTGAGTACAAAATTAATGGCATAAAATCACAAGTACCTTAACACTATCAGATAGACAATATTAAGAAAGGGATGGAGAGGGAAATAAGGTAAATCAGTTGAAAATGTGAAACATTATTGATTAAGTTAACTGAAAGATATACACGTATAACCATGACCAATCCTAATTCGGCATGCTAAATAGAATACAATACAATTGAAAATAAACAGACAAATTAACAACCCAGAGATATGACATCAATCTATGAAGACTACAATTTCCGCATTTAAGCTGTGTAGTGTTTGATATAAAGTACATTGAAGAGTTAAATGATGTAATTTTAAAAGACTATACAGTGGCAATCATAAATTTATACATCTTATTTCATAAAATGAGTAAAATTACATTACTATCCTATTAATATTTTAATCATCAGTGTTGTCATATTCCTGATATTGGAGATTAATTTATTCTGTTTTGATCCAGTCAAATCCAATATTTAAAATACAATAAAACGATTAAAAATGAAACCAAACTTCATTATTTTCTTTCAAAAAAGATATTGAGAATTTTCATCGTGTATACATCCTTCATATAAATTAAATTCATTAGCTATGTTGATCAGGCCAGTAAACACATGCGTATTCATACAACAAAGTAAGATCTAATACCAAAAAGTATTTAGCAAAAACTAAGTCTACGATTCTCTATGAGAGCGAAAGTTCTATACTAATATCATATATATAATGTAAAATAAAATTTAAACCAAAAAATACTTACATTCAGACACTTCATCAAGACTGGTGCGCATTACGTAACCATCCACACTAGTCAGTAATAACTGTTCATTGTCCAAATGCATACCTAAACAGAGATATAATTACACAAACATTTTACAAAAGTTTATGTTGAATATGTAGTGTAAAAAATTAGATTTTTCATTGGAATAAATCGTAGAGTTACATGTTTGAAAAAGTTTGTGACGGGAATGTATCAAATTTTTAAACTGAGAAATAAAACGGATATTTTTTAAAAATCTAAACATGGCAGTGAAAAATGAGTTAAATGTCCTTAACAGTGAATAATGGAGACTATGAGAAACGACTACCTTGAAACTACATCTAACATAGTACATGGGAGGAAGAGTTGCATAGACTGATAGTCAAATTGTAAAATCATCAATATAATTCGACCAGTACTTTTGGAAATTCGGCATTGAATAAAATCAAACACAGTTCCTATTATTCGGACAATCTAGTAATAATAATAATAATAATAATAATAATATAATAATAATAATAATAATTGTTAGCGGGACATAGACTGGATTAAAGCATGCTCAATGCATGATTGCTTTGGTGCACGCTGATTGGCTAATTCTTATCCAATCAGCACTAGCCGATAGTTGGAGAACACTCTGGAATCTTCTTATGTAAAAACTATAAATATACTGACGTTTTCCCTATTGTGCTTCTGACTTGCTATTTGGAATATAATCTCTTTCCTGTTCAACCGTGTTCTGATTTGGGGACTTGTCGAGTGAATCGGTGTCCGAGAATACTAAGCAATAGGAATAGCTGGGTCATAACCGTAAGAAGAAAGAGATTATAACAGTGGCGACGGGGAAAAACTAAAGAAAAATGGCGATTTCTTTAGAACAGTTGCGGTTAATATTACAGCACCAGCAGAAGTTGTTAGCCTTGCAACAACAACTATTGAGCACACTTTTCACTCGACCAGAAAATAAGAAATCTGTTTATGATGCAGTAACAGACATTTCAGAAGCATATCTAGTGGAGGGTTCAAATCCCTTTATACCTGAATCAGAACGTAATATTTGTAACGTGTCCGGCTCACAGCAAGAAAATACTGTGCTGAATGCTCATAAAGTTGTGGCAATACGAGATGATCAAGAGCCAGACGCTGTAGATGAAGCCCGGAGTCCAGAATTGAGTGAAGCACTACTGGTCCTGTCTAGCTCTGAAAATAAATTTCAGCTAGAACAAAATTATGGTCCACGTGATATCAGCCGAGAAAGCTATGGGGACTCGTATTCAGAAAATAACTGCAGTGACACGATGAACCCAATTATACCGAATGTTACTCAAAATCATTGTGAGACAGAAATTTATACTGAATCAGCTTATCCGATTTCTAATGACAATGTATCAGATATGGGTTCTCAGAATAATGCATGTAATTTTGATGAAATTTCTTATAAAAATGAGGAAGATATGTCGGCTGAGTCAAATTATGGTCAAAAGTCTAATTTAATTTTGTTAGATGTTGATTTCCGTAATGATCCATTATCCACTGATGAAATTTCTAATGGATTTGAAAGTAATGCTTCAGAAGAATTAAACTCTGACCTCAAATCAAAGGTCGTTCATTATCATCTAGTCATTTCTAGTGGATCCGACATTCAATGCAAGAAACATCGTTTAAATAAAGTCCTATTATTTGTAACTTGGAGATATAAGGATCCGACATTGTTTCGCGGAGGAGGAGAATGTTGGAGAATTAAAAGTTATGCATACTTTTATTTTTAAAAAAATCAAAACGCCGGGAACAGACATGTCAGTATCTGTGCAAAAAAAAGTGATAATTCTGTATTGCCTAGACGATGAACTAATCGAAAGCACAAGCCAGTCACTCAGTTGCAGTTGGACCCTAGCACCAGATCCTACGAATCTGCTCAAAGGGGAGGTGTTAGCGGGACATAGACTAGATTAAAGCATGCTCAATGCATGATTGCTTTGGTGCACGCTGATTGGCTAATTCTTATCCAATCAGCACTAGCCGATAGTTGGAGAACACTCTGGAATCTTCTTATGTAAAAACTATAAATATACTGACGTTTTCCCTATTGTGCTTCTGACTTGCTATTTGGAATATAATCTCTTTCCTGTTCAACCGTGTTCTGATTTGGGGACTTGTCGAGTGAATCGGTGTCCGAGAATACTAAGCAATAGGAATAGCTGGGTCATTACCGTAAGAAAAGAGCGATTTATAACAATAATAATAATAATAATAATAATAATAATAATAATAATAATAATAATAATAGTAACAATAATGACAATAGAAATGATAGTAATGATGATAATAGTAGTGATAACGATAATAACAATAATAGCAATAATAATAAGCCGTATATGATAAGGTGTTATTATTTATTTAATTATTTGAACACATACATATTGGTACAAGAGTGCGCCAAATATATATGCGCCACACATGATAAGGTGTACTAATTAATAGCGAGGTTTCGTAAATATTTTGCTTTGAAATATGTCACTACTGAAAGAAGCTAAAAATGACAGAATTTCAGAAAACATACCATTAATGGACAGTGAAAGACATACTCAATACCGACGGAAAATGAGAACTCAACACTGAGGCATCTAAAACTACGATTTATAAATACTCTAAAAATCATAAAATCTGTACATCTAAGTGAAATAATAACACGTTTGAGATGATATGAGTTAGTAATATATAATTTTCGAATTTTACTGATTGATTGGGTCTTTTATAAGAACTATCAACAGAATTCTTAACCATAACCAATTCATATGGTCGGTATTTGAACATTCATGAAATAGCCAACACAATTGATCTACAGTTTGTTTTAGAAACATACACTTCAAATAAACACCCTTATTAACAATACAACTGAGGACATTTGAAAAACTACTGAATCGAAAAAAAAACTTTTAAAGTTCAGTTTACTTTTTTTATACATCTTGACATACCAGTAATATAGCCTAAAATAGGACTTGGTTGACTAACAAATTGGCTTTTAACCAAATACAGTGGATCTCGTCCACGACATGGTGTTGATAGGCTACTTGGTTGTTCTTGGTGCTGGTTCTGTTGTTGGAAACAAATCTCTAAATCTTCCTTAGCTATATGAAATAATAACAAATGACGACCATAGCCAATGCATAATAAACGACGAGACATTGACCAGGCTGATGCTAAAATGGTTACATGATACAATGAAGTTGTCCATAGATTGAATAAATAAGGCTGTATGATAAAGTTTGAGAAAGAAAAAAAAGAAGCAGAGCTGTTATATAACACGAAGACTAAACGAATGGTAGCTTCAAGGAATTATTTATAAACTATTAATATTTATATTTATATTCCTATTAGCATAAGCTTTCGGTTGGCACATTAACTACTATAATACAAGTTAGTAGTCTTAATTCATTCCCAAACTATTAGTTACATTCTGCCCAAATGCCCTGGTACGGCTGAGAGTGGGAAGAGTCCGCTCTCCCTCTCCAACTGCTCTCACATGACCATGCGTATATAGCCTCTGCCAGGGAAGTCTTATTCACTGCCTTCTCGAGGCATTACTGTTGTTTACGAAATTGAGAGGACGAAATGCGAATGTCCGGAGCTTTAACCGGGTTGGTGGATATGGAGAGTCCATCTAGGGGAGTTGGAAAACCCTCATTCCAAACCAATGGTGCTCATGGGCCCTAGTATCCTGAAGGAACAAATGGTGTATGAACCAGTCGTTGGTCACCGGCTACCATGGGAATGCATCTCCTTACGTTGCTCCACTGCCTTGTGGATCAGACCTTCAGGTCGATGGCTCCGTGTGTGGCCCCCTAAGAAAACCATCTGCTCCGGTTTGGGTACCCAGGCAGTACCACAGCCCTTACATATATCAAATGAGATCTGTGCGGCGCATATGTATTTGGTGACTCCTTATACCAATGTTTATGTGTTTAAATAAATAATTAAACTCACAGCCCATTTCGGCGTGATCGTACACAGTTGTTATTTTTCATTTTATGGTGTGATGCAGTCTGAGCTGTTTATGTATCGACCACGTATGTCTGAAAGATAACACTAATATAGTGGGGGCTGGTTATCGTGTTTTGGACTCAATGAACTGGTCAAGGAGAGAAGCAACTTTATCAAGAACCAATAAGGAATCGAAGTCGACTTAAGGCTACTAGTGCTGGTTGGTGTGTTATTGGTTAGCTCAGAGACAAGGTGATAAAAATCGATATTGTGATTGATAATCTTGTCACAGGTGAGTCGTGAGTTTAGCGCGGAATTTATTTCTTCACATTGATAAATAGTATTTCGGCATTATAGCTGACATCGGTTCGTGGTAAGACCATTGCTTTAATTCCTAACCCTAGATTCAACTGTAAATCCTAATCCTAATTCCTCTTAATGGTTTTAAACCCTCTTTTGACACTAGTAAGTAGGTAAGTTGTCTCCAGGTCACTTCAGAGTCATCACAAGTCATCCATAGCTTATGGTCAGATCAATTTTTTTCTTCGATATTCAGATAAGCCACTGAACAATAACAGTGTGGAAACTAATAGAAAAAAACTGGTTCAAGACAATTACAGGCAGAAGTTCCTTCTTATGAATCTGTAACAATATCTTAATCATCAGATTGAAATATTTTGGTTAATAAAAACCACCATCCATTTTAGTGGATAATTTCGGGCCTAAGGTACCGCAACATCAGATTGATCTAAATGCTAAACAGCCAGGACTCGTAGCAATCACGATAAGATTCGACCAGTAAGTCTCGAAATCCAATAAACTCTCTTGAAGAATTAAAAACCTTACTGAATATCATGTTTCCATAAAATATGAGTCCACGTATTTATAAAATGGAGCAATTATTAGATTGAGATCATTTGGTGAATAATATGGAGTACCTGAGAGATTTGCGTACTATAGTTGTATTACTTATGAGTAACTAGTTTTTAAGCGTATAATTTTTTCCGTCGTCAATCCCAGACTCCTTAATGATTGATGAATTTTTTTTACATCATGAACCAGCCTTATAATATTTAATAATCTCTACAAACGACGTAATGTTGATAGATCTTTAATCTGTTCAGCCATACTGAACTTGACATATTTTTACTGTTCTGTGATGAGAATTGAGAGTTGTTACTGTTAGCTTAGCACTTGTGATTTTTAGTCTAAGGTAATTCTTATTTACAATAGAACTACTTTATATATTTATATGTAAATACCCCGGAAACCCAAATAGGTTCATGAGTTTAAACGATACCCGGTACGTTATTCTGTGAATCTAACAGTATCTATACCAAGGATGGGTAGGAAGCAAAAGTATACGGCGGTGATCGTAAACAGTAAATAAATTAACAGAAGTAAAACGGCTAGTCTTTGTTGAAAACAAAGAAAAAGAAGAAACAATAACGGAGTTTAAACTAAGCTTTTTAAACTAAAGATTGGTTTTCTTTAGTCAAGTTACAAACTGGCTAAGAATGCGCGTATCGTCCCATTTGAGACTTACGAGTTGGATGTACCTAATAAATTAGGTTAATTTAGTTGATCAATTAATAGAATCATAGCAATCAAAGTGACAGAAGAACGGAAATTTACACAAGTATTAAGCAACATAGATTTAAAAATAAGTTTAGTTTCGCTTACTACTGTTAATACCAGAATACCAGTTGGAGAATATTCAATAGGAAACACTAAACCTTTCACTGAACCATCAGTAAAACCCAAAACAAGTAAGACTAAAGAAAGAGAAAAACAAAGTTCATGTGTATAAGAATAGTTTTGATTAGGAGCATAACAATATATACATACTATTACTACTACTACATTCACTTTACGACTGAAAAAATTAGTAGCGGTTGTTTCAAGTTAATCTTATACTATACTCTCGTCAACTTTGAAACTCAGGAATATCTAGAACAATAAATGAATGGGATGAAGAGCGTTAACTGTCAGTCAGTCGGTCAGCTACAACGTGAGACCAGGCACATATATGCATCGGTCCAAGTTGCCATACCTCATTAACACAACAAGATGAACACCGGATTCATATAAGTGGTTAATTCAAAGGTGGTAATATATAAAAGAAAGATTGCAATAAGGATATAGTATAGGAAGAAAGAATTAGTTCGTAGAAAGAAAGATATGAAGCAATTTTAATCTCTTAGTTTTAGGGAAGACAGAGAGTGTATACACCGACGCCATTGTGATCGATTCTGAGTCATGTCACCAAGAGTCTCTAACCATTGGTTACGATAGTTACGTGGACCTCAACCAAGTAGTCTGCATCTACCAACATGGCTCAGACCAGAAGTTATTGACTTCAAGCACTGATGCCACGTTTTGGTTTGGCCGCCTCTAACTTTCTTCCAACCATCTCCAACACCGGTTAGCATTGCACGTCGTGGTAATCGGTGTTCAGGCATACGTAACACGTGGCCCAACCATCTCAGTCGATGAAGATTCACAACCTCATCAACGCTTTGAATTTAGAAAAACAGATAAATTCTTATCATTAAGATGGGAATTAGTGAAGATTGTTTACTTTGAAGTTAGCATTAATGATGAACTTGCTGAATAATCAGTTTGAGACTTCAGAATCGCTCACTCAAAACTTTACTAGAAACAGAATTTCAAGTCTTCTTAAGGGCACTAAAACTTAGTAGTCTTAAGGTAATGCTCGCTGTAAGAGATAGAGCTGACTTCAACCAAAACCTTCATTTTTTACAGCTTCAATTTAAATTTCGAACGAAATATAGACAGTCCATGAAGTGGAAAAGAAACAGAAACATTCCAGTATAAATTTTATTCAATCACCTTTATTAACACTATATCTGATATAATCACTTGAGATTTTTAGTTACTTTTCCACTTGATACGATAAAACTATACATTTATTTACTTCATTTATATAATTCACATGTAATCTAGTACATTCGGGAACAAAAAACAGTATGAGCCATACAAACAATATTTGTATGTGGGTTAGGATACTGAACGAACGCTCGAAATGAAACAGGTGGTTTTCTTCGGTGACTCACTTTCTCAGCTTTTGATGTAAAGGTCTAATCCACAGTGCAGTGGATAACCATCAGGATATGCCGTCCTATACTAGTCGGCAACCGAAATGAGTTCGTACGCTATTCATTTTCACAAGGTTCTGGAACATATGTACAAGATTGGCTTGGAGTGAGGGTTTTTCAATACCCCTAAGTGGATCCACTGATCCGGTTTAAGCGCCTGATGTTCGCTTTTTTCCTCTCATTTTTATAAACAATACCCTTGCCTTCTGAAGTCAGTCAGTAGGACTTTTCAGTTAGAAACTATAAATGCATAGGGGTATGAGAGGATTTCGAGAGGAAGTGTGAACTCTACACACTCGTAAGTACAATAACCATCGAGAGCTGAAACTATACATAATACAGTGAAATTCTTTTCAAGAAATCTTACTCATCAAAAACATTGAGGGAAAAGTAGTAACTTACGATTGAGACTATCCAAATCATAAAGTTTGATATAGTTTGGGTGCTTATCCATCGAATCGCTGCGCACGACAGTGTATGTATAATCTACCCACAACAATGACATTGATGACCTGAGTCATTTATTATTCCACATTCCAGATTAAAATAAAGCAAGCAAATGAATATCAACTATTTATATTCATGAAAAGTAAAATGAGGTCAAAAAGAACAAGATAGGATCCACTTTGGCGACAATCTAGCAATAAATAGTTAAAATGTTTTTTTTCTGGTTAGAGTATTTTTCAGTAAGGTCTTTTTTGATGGAAGTTGAGTAGGTAACCAAATGCCCAACTCCTCTTTTTTATCCGGGCTTGGGATCGACAGTAACCCTAGGATAGCTCTAAGAGACAGTTGGAAAAGAAGAGCCCAGAACAGAGTAAGTTGGAGACCCCTAGTCGATGGCCTATGCTCCCACGAGGGGTAACAGGCGTAAATAAGTATCTAATAAACAGTAAACTTTACTTTCCCAGAGGTGTGTGAGATAAACAACAGGTCGAGAATCAAACGAGTTCTTATGTGAGGGGTCACAAAATATTGGCTTAACATTATATATGTTTTACAGTAAGAATATTAAATCTTTACGAATAAATTTTCGATCATTGAAACAAAAGAAAAGAATTCTTATCGATAGATGATGCACAATGATACGATATGACTAAGTATGGATGATGAAGAGGGAAAATTATTGACTTAATCCTTCAAATGAGTTGAAATGAAATACAAGAACACTAATCAGAAGAATGTTTTTATTTAATAAAATGAAATGCTTCCATACAACGTATCAATGTGAAACAGGCATTATAAAATGTCATGGAAAATTAAAAGAATTTAGTATCCAGGTCAGTCACTCCCCAATTAATTCAAATATGATAATTAGGTCTAATTCTTGGGCATCGTACCTATAGGATGGTAAATCAACATTGCAGGTAGTTGACTGCTAAGATATAAGTGTGTCTTTAATTCGGATTTGTGGAAGTCAAGAGAGTACAATAAATGAACAAAAATAAAGTAACTTACACTCCAGAAAATGGTACTGAAACCATCCATATAGAGAATGCACCAGATTTCATTAAGACTGCCAAAAATGTCACTGGGCATAATGAAAATGATTCAGTGACAAGTTGAGTTGTGTCAACTGGTATCACGAAATAGGACCTGTTATTGTTTAAGCAAAGTGCAGTTTTCAAATTCATTGAATTGGTGGATTTTATTTGAGGTTGTCGAATTATCTGACACCAACTTGTGTAAACAACTATAACATCTTCTATTGCATCGAAATAATCCATAATATTTCTACATATTAATGATGGAATATTACTACATTCAGTAGGCTATATAATAGACAAGAGAGTTTACTGAGGGATAACTATGCAGATAATGATGAAGAAAACAAAGAATATTACTGTTAATGATAATGATAATTATTAATAATAAACAAAATTGGAAGATGCTTGAGTAATTAGATAAATAAATTTTTTTAATGTAGGGTGAGGGTTGGAGATAGCCGACAAAAAACCCTGAACCTAGGATTTCATGTTATTTGAAACTCAACATAGAGTAACTGTAATCTTGGGGAGCTGATGCTGTCTGATAGATTTGATCCTATGTCACTCGGTTCTATAATCATAGAGGCTACCACTGAGCTACTTGGTCCATGAATGACCTCCTGCAGAACTGAGATGTATTATTAATTGATTGATCACTGAGTAGTGACCAGCCAATTGGAAATCTCTTTACTGTTTATATCAAAAAATTATGTCACAATTATATACTTCCTAATGTTAATGATTGAAAGTTGGCAGTTAAAAAACTGCTTCAGATGTCTCATTCATTTTATATAAACTATGTCCGGAGCTTTGTCGATCAAATGGTTTATTCTATTAGTTGCTGATGTTACCAGTACTCATACTACTAATAATGATTACGCGAAAAGTATTCGTTCTATTAATGACTAGGTTGCAAATATTCATCTTATTTACAATTGAGTTACAAGTAACTTCAGTGTACTAATTCGAAGGTATTTATCGATTTGATAATCACATTATCAACATTAATTGGTGTGTTACTTTTCATTCATATAGTTATATTGGCAAAAAAGTGTCCTACAGATTAATGATAAATTGTAATCGTACAGTCTTGACATTCAATTACGTCAATCAGAAGAGAAGCATAATTACAAGAGGATATCGGTTGCCAGAATCAGCACACTCTTCAGTGGTTACACGTTCGTTAAGAAAGTGAGATGATATGAGCCCATCCAAACATCTTTAGTTGAATCTGAGACCTATTTTTAGGAAAGGAAGGTGATGTGACAGAATAGAAAGGCAAAATTACGTTTTAAATTCATTGTGATTTTCGTTCAACACCACTTTCGTTTAATCTGGACATGATGCTTATTAGGTGTAATACTTCATTTATCTGCAATGTGATATTTTGTCCAGTATACCAGTGAAATATTTTAGCATGATATTTGTTCAAGACAATATTTTTTGTATTAATTCAGTGTGATACTCGTAGCTTCAGTTTTTGTATTAATTCTGTGTATTCCTTCTATATCCGATAATTGTTAACTAATCATCAAATAAATCCATATCACCAGTCTTTATACCTTCGTAGTGACTCTACTACTCACAAGAATGTTTGTAAGTAGTGTGTGGCAGAAAATGACGTCGGAGTTGCAACAATCGTCAGATGGAGTGAACAGTTTCAGTGCATCGAAACGTTGGCGTTGGCAGAACAATTGGTGACCAGATGAGAAGTCAGTTCAGATAAAAGAACACATTAAAAGATGAAAATGGACGATTGAAGGCTAAGTATATGCATTATGCAAATACTTTGTAATTTCTCACAAAAATACACATCCCTCCCCGACCGTTGTCGTGTTTTACACCCTTACCATGCATCATGAGATCGGGGTTTTCATGCCAAGCACAAATCAGCTGACCATACAGCAGATATAACAGCGTGTCTTATCAACTGAAGAGTGGACAGTAGATGTCCCTGTCATCTTAGGAACCGAACCCAAGAGCTTACGGTCAGTAACTTCAAATCTAAACCATTTGTGCATTTTCATACAAAGGCATCTCCATTAGACCTAAGTTTTATTCTATAACACTTTCAAGAGCCTTTTAGTTGGAATTCTTAAAGTGAAGAGTCATTTTGGTAAATTTCCATTAAATACAGCTAGGTAATTAATAGTGTAAGCTGCAAAAATTTAAAAAAGGCCTAAATATAGAAGCTCTATTCAGTCCAAAGGCTAATTACTGTTCATTATAATATGACACATCAATATTTTACTAAATGTACGACAGAACTAAATAAGACAAGTGATTATAGGAACAACTAGGCAGTTTTGATACCCTGAGTACTAACACCAGTTTAAGGGATTTATATTTAGGAATACTAAGTAAGGATAATAAATATAAGAACACTAACTTGGAAAATAAACTGTGGTCGACTATCAACAACCACCTTTCGACTTTGCGCGATCCTACCATGTTCAACATAGTATTGCTGCCAAATTAATGATAGATCGACTGACTGATAAAAAAAATCAAAAGGATATAAATAAAGTAGTGTACAAAAGAAAAAAATTGCAGTTAGTAGATGTTGAACGGATAGGATAATCACCTTCGAAACCACTTGATGTCACATGAATAATCATTGAGAACAAAAACGTACTGCGAAAGTCTTATTGTTCGGATTGAAAGGTAAAAAGTAGTACACTCAAATGACTTCGTTCACAACAGTGTCGATGTTTTTCAGACATTACGATATGAAGTTTAACTTTTGTGGCATTTAACTAATTCTTGATGGCTTGCACTCGTAAATGAGATCACATTATGATACTTACATCGGAGAGAACTCAATTTTTCTGGGAACATATTATGATTTATTTGAACTTCAAGAAAGGGTTTCTGGGCACACTATCGGTGGGAGTCAATCCACTTGACGATTAATCTGGATATAATTCTTGGAGGCGTGAGTTTGATTCAGAAATAAGTCACAGCTATGGCATACTAAAAGCATGGTGAAATTAACCTCCGTAAATCTTCAATTTACATTTGAAATAATTATCAATCATTCAGTTAGTGTGTGGGCTGGGATATTGTCTCGGTCACTGAACAGAAACAGGTCGTTTTCTTAGAGCGCCACTCCCCAAACCTTTGACGTACAACCCTAATCCACGAGACAATGGAGCAACGTTAAAATATCCGATCTCATGGTAGCCGGTCACCATTTTTTCCATCAGGATAACTAGTAGATAAGACCTAACGACTTTATAGTAAACACAAGTAATATCTTAATGTTAGAAACCTTAGGCCAGTTCAAATAGCGGTTAATGTACTGATCAACCAAACTATTATAAACAAGAGATTCCTTTATTGAGGTAATAACTAAAAATATTTAAATGGATTAGAAATACAACTTACTTCTTCCCAAGATTCAGTTCCTTTAAGTGTGCACAAAAATGACCGATTTTCCATTGTTGTTAAACTCATTATACACCTATAGAATTGAGAGAAAATTGGTGACTTTAGAAGCTGTCTATGAAGTATACAAATTATTGAAAATCAACTCCAATCTATGATCTGTCTCATAAATGTTCCTTTGATTGTTATGTGCTCTAACCACCCACCAAGCTCAACAAAATTTTAGTAGACTGAAAAATACAGCGCAGATTTAACAAAGCGCATGAGTAAAAGTCAATAAAACTTACGTTTCAGAGGGTTTATATATTCTACGTGCCTTAATGATATGGAGAATTCAGTGACCAGAACACTTAACTTTTAGTAATTTCATCATTTTACGTTCTACTTTATAAACTACAGAATGGACAGAAAAATATATCATAATACCTTCACATAAAGGATATGGTTCAAAGAATGACGCATGAACCTGAATGGATTATTTTGTTGAGACGTTGGTTACTAGTCCCAAATCAGCTCACTGAATACAGACTCGTTTAAGTAACCCTAAGGATAGGTTCTACTCCTACATCAATTTTCGAAATACTTATCTGCATTTATTGATACGCTTTATATTAGAGCGTTTTCCAAATGTAAGATCTTAGTGTTAATTACAAAGATATTTTCGATGCTAGTCAACCATAGAGTACACACACTAACGACGTATCGAGAACATCGTAAACTATAGTGACTCACTGGTAGATTAGCATATATCAAATTAATAAATCTTATATGTTCTGTGCATGAAACCATTGACAATTATGAAAACATTTGAACCAAAATAGAGCACTATTTTGAAAAAAAACATATATCTCACATACACGAAGTCAGACAACACGAGAAAAGTTTAAATCCTGAGTATTACGGATAGCAACTTTCATGCACAAGAAATAACGTATTTCAAATTTGCGAAGACCAACCTTTCATATTTGTCAACTCCTCTTGGACTCCAGGAAACTAACCGAGCTCCATTCTTGAGATTCAAGATGTCTCGATTCATTTGTTCATAAGGAAAGAGAACAGATCTGTTTACGTTCTCTTTGAGTGAGGATTCTGTGTTTGAAAAAACAATAAGGAGACAAAATCATTGAGCTTACTGACTTCATGGTCGACTTCAGATCCTTTTAACACACAATCATTATCAAGTTCGATCCTTAAAGAACCACGGGCAACAAAGTCAACTTCTTGAGCAATTGCTATCTTCTTAGAATGGTCGTCATGAAGTGAAAGAGAAAAATTCTAAATAGGAGGGAAAAAATTAATATATTTATTGGAAGACAGATATGAGCTCACGAGAACTGTCGTTGAAGTTGGTAGTGGGGAATTAACAGTAGATGACTGAGAGAACTCACTGAAAATCTTAAGTAATTCAGCAGTCGTTGAGTCTTACAATAGGTGTTTTTAGAAATCCGATTTTAGTTTACCCGTGAGGGGTACGCACTAAACCCAATCCAAACGTTTATCGAATTATTTTACAAACACCCTCTGGAATACTATCGTGACTTAATGCAACCCGTACAAACTACTGGCGAGTCACCAAAATACTGACTAGATGGACTCCCGAAGTGAGTACAGCAGTAAGCAATGTAAGTCAAGGAGTTGATTAACCGGTTTCTGATATTAAAAAGCAAATCAAACTTTGCACAAATACCACTTTATATATATATATATATATATATATATATATATATATATATCATTACGAAATCCAGTAACTAAAGCAAGCGGTTTGAATTTCATACTACATAGGACACAAAATAGGGAGTTTGTTAGTACTTTAACTAGGTGATTACATACCAACCTAGAGGTGCAAATACCATTAAAGAGTGATAGATGAGACAGGTGCTACTACATTTATGTAGTATTGACGGACATTTTATCAAATTGACAGTTAGTTTCTTATGACCATGCTATGAAAACGTCAGTAACTATATAGTTGGGTAAAACTTACCAAAATATATAATTTTTCGGCTGTTGGAATGGCAATCTTATCTTCAGAAGAACCTACACATCCTCCAGTAGTACAAATGGGATCTTTTACTGATAGAACAGTGGACGTTTTTGGTGCAATAGTAGGATTATTCACGATTAGCACCATTCCCTACTAGAGTTAGATTTAATGTAATAAAGAAATTATTGTTAACAGGTGTACCATCGATCAAGGTAAGTACATATTTGAAAAAAAGGATAAAAGTTACAGAAACTAGTAGTCTTGCATACATTTTATAATAAAATAAAAAGAAATGATAAAACTGACTTTATTGGAGCACTACTTGATCAGATAGTATACTTTAGCTACCACGCATCGAAGTCGTTGGTATTTTTGTATTCCAATGATGCTACGTACACCTTATGTATTTGGGGTAAGAAAGATAACCAGATTGAGAAAATTATTTATACCACTGATTATGTGGGCAGATTACTACCATTTAAATGTTATATACAATATTATCGCGAAAAATGCTATCAGACTCGCCATCTGATGGTCCTTCAGGAAGATTGACAGGGACGAGCTTATTTGTACAGTAATTTAACAATGCAATAATTTAACATTTCACAGTCAGTAATTGAAGGAGTAGAACAGCTTCTGAGTTGCCAGACACAATTGCATCTCATAATATGGCAGTGCTTCTGTTGGGGATGTGAAATCCTCAAATATAACTTATGGGAGAGAAGAGTGACACCAAGTCAACATGAATGTAAGGTCGAATCCCAACGTTCCCACATTAATTAAAGGGCTTTCGGTGAGTTGTTCACTATGATTTGTACTTGGAGCAAATTTTTAAGTCCGCATGTTATAAATGTTATAATCGATAACCAGCTAACCTAAATTTAAACTTGCTTATCACAGGGTATCTATCAAGAAAGCTTCTATATAGAAACTTAACTACTCACTTCAGTTAAAAGGACAGGAAAGATATTAATAGTCGCGTTCAACGTGTTGACGTTGGAGTTGGAAAGTAGTACATTCGTGCACAAAAGTATCAAGTCTAGACCATTAAATATGGTGATTTTCACGCAAGCATCGAAATTATAACTTATGGGTGGACCAATCAGATTAACGACATGTCTTGAGTTTTGGCATTATAGATGTTGTCAGTTCGTGATGAAAACTCAATATCTCATTCTTAACCCTAGCCATCAACTGTAAATACCAAACCTAATTCTTCACGCCGGTTTATAACCCTCATTTAGCCGTAGTATGCAGGTGGGAATTCTCAAGGACTCTTTTGGGTAGCTCAAAGGTTGTCCATATATTAGTCTCACTGAATAATTTATATTTGATACCAGCAGTCAGTCGGCCATAATGATGAACTGGAAACATCAAGTTAACGACACTTGTACTCGATTAACGTCTTAACACCAGACATAATAAACTAAAACTTCCCAGTTTGTTGAGTAGTGGTCGTTGGTAAAATGACTACTTACGCTAGACACGAAAGTCGAATTCAAAATATGCCGCAAATTTACCATGCTGTATTATTTAGATCGGCGGAAAAGCCGCCCAATGCTTGTAGTGAGCTACAAAACTAATTTTGGACTCATACAAAGGATTAAGAATGTCAAGCTACTTAAAACCAGTGATCAACCAATTTCATAAGGACACAGATGAAATGATGAAATTGCGTAGTAGATGAATCGCCATCATTTGAATAATTGTCACATACTAGAATTAATTCACATGTAAAGCAGAAACAGGTGTATCACGAAACAGTTTAACCCACGTTTGAAAAGTCACTTGTCCTTAGATACGACTTTCAATGTATAATATTTTTATGACGAGCTCGGATATGCAACGGATTCGAAACCTTACGCTATCAACTTCTAGCTTCGATAACCAGATTGTCTTAATCTCGCTATTGTGTTATTTTAACTGCTGTCTATTTCTCTCATTATCAAGTGCAAATGCATTCTATGTCCTTCTCGAGTCGTCGGCTCAATTCTATCTTCCAGATATCTTCACATGATGCTCCTCACAACCCTTCAGTTCTCAAAACACTTTGGAGGCACACAAAAATCCTCTAATGTTTGAATGGTACACATAAACTAATTGATTTCTTGGCTGTCGCATCTCGATGTTAGTTGTCATGTTACTTTTAAGATAATTTCGGTTAAGGTGATCCTAGGGTTGGAGAACCAAAGTGATCTTCTGTCGAGTAGCGCTCGTAGTCACACCCGAGTAAGACCTGATATGTTTCTTGAATAAATAACTGAACTAGAAACCGCCAACAAAACGGTGAGGAGAATTTCCGTTTAGTGGGTCTTCGAATAGTCGGGTCTTGGAAGCGAATGCTACCAGTGCATGTGTGGATGGGCCATTCTTTCACGGAGTTTTATATACCGATGCTCGCAGCCTAAGAAATAGGTTTATGAACTAGAAGCTTGAGTGGACAAATTAGTGCCATTCATTGTAGCTGCGACAGATACTTCGATATTACTTCTGATCTGACTGGATTGGTATCTTTCGGTTATAAAGGTAAAATGTTAAAAACCGGGGGTGTAGGAAAACTGGATATTATCTGAATGGAAATCGGTTAAAAGAGATGTAATCCAACGCATCATAGCATGTCCTCCATTTTTCAGCTCTACGAATTTGACTACTTAAGTTGTCAAAACTGCAATTTTCAGATGGTATCAAATTCTGGAGAACGATATATGGAGAGGCTGATCATCTTGATTTACGTGTTTAAATACACAAACTGGTTAAATGGTCTCAATATTGGTACTTAGAAATGTATACCAGAAAGTATGAAATGTACGTCGAACACCATTATAATATCGACGGCACATATCATCCTTCGAAGTATCAAAAATGCACGGTAAAAGTAGATAAATTATGTAACATGCATCAGGCGCAGTCGTATCAAGGTGGAGATGGTAATCACTGTGTCAGTACATGTTTTCAGGTCTCCTCTTAGTGTTATTCACTAGTGGAGCTGTGTTTACTTCAGTTAGGAGAGCATTCCAACCGAGTGCGATTTTTAGCAAGAAAAATTGGGGGCGTATTTGAGTTTTCGCTTTTTAATATGCAATCTCTCGAGAGCGCTGTGGTGATTTTCCGATGATATGATAGTACTGAAGATGCTTGACGTAATTATTATGTCATGTGTAATTATCAACCCACCTCTTATTTTCGCATGGCGTTGTAAACTGTCCCCATAAGATTTTTATTACAACTGTCACCCACTTTGTTGGCCGTCTCTCTACATGGCCTAAGAGATTTGTGTCTCTTTAGAAGAGAGGGGGCGCAGGTATATTGTAGACTCGAAGATGCCGCTGTGCGTATGCTCCGAACAGCGTTGGGGACAACCCCGAAAAATGTGCCAGGTTTTCTAAATATGATGCAGAGAAATATATTTGCCTTAGCTATATCTACTTTGTAAATTGAAGTGATGTATAGTCTCCCTGTATTTGGTAGCCTGAGTTCGCACTATGAGGAAGCAACCAGGGGTGCATTTCTATGCTGGGTTTGTAGCGTGGCGTCGAGTCCCAGTTGACTATGAACATCGCTACCAAGAACACGTGCCAAATAAATCAGAATGCGGATTGGAATCAAGTTTATTCAATTGGCGATCTCGTGGTATCGAACGAATACCAAGATCGTGCCAAGAAATGGTAGAGGCGAAATCAGGAGGACGGAGTACGTGCGAACAAAGCCAAAAACCGCGGAACAATGATGGAAGGTAATGTAAGCACAAAAATGGCTGTAATTAGCACAGTTAAACAAAAGCACATTAAAACAAGCACTGGTACAGTTGGTTATAATAATAATTGTTTTCATTAAACCAGTCGTGTTCTCGTGATAAAAGTGAGTCACTACAGGTTTTAGTGCTTTGTGCCAAATAGGGCAGAAAGTTCATGACATGACATTTTGACTGAATAAGTTTTAATACGTTGTCTACTATCGATTCCTATGTTGTGAAGTACTTTTGAATTCTTCTCAATTTTAATAGACCTCCAGAACTTTGCAGTGCCTACATAGATTAGTGCCGCTGAGCTCAGTTTATCTAAAAGCTAGTGAACAAAGTCCCGGAACAGGAGTAGACCTATAATTGTCTTTTGGAACCTTCTGATATTGAAGTCTTCCAGCTTGCATGTACTCCATCTACCTACGATCAATTCAATAAGCGACATTGTCAAAATGCGGCTTGAATAGAATAGATAAATTGGGTTTTACAGAAGCCAGAATAGCCTTTGAGGGCTTGAACATAGCGCCAGCCACTACAGTCCGATAATTTATACACTGTTTTCATTACCAGATTTAAGTAATTGCTCCATATCTCACAACCATCTTCGTTTCTCTTATTTCTACACTTTGATCTCCTCACGGTTTTCTGCATGCTAGGGCTGAAGCTACCAAGAGTTCACTTAATCTGCGAACGAGAAACAAGACTCAGTGACCAAAGACCAGTAAGCTAGCTATTGATGCGTCGCAGCCCTGCTAACTAGAGGAAGAATTTCAAGCTTGAAATGGGGAACCATATTCTACAAACAGCCAGAAACGAGCGACAATACCTCTCCTTGGGGAGAGTTATCAAATAGCATACTAAGAGATGCAACGGACCAATAGCATTTAAGATGTTTCCCAGTAGGAAATGCGACATGAAGGTGACAAGAGCGCCTTTAATGCGGAAACAAAGAAATTCAAATTTTTTAAATAAGCTTACAAAATTAGGTGCTTTCCCAAGTAAGTTCTGGGGATCTAACGTCCCCAACACTGCATTACTAATTATTTGGCCGGCTTACTCATTTCTTTCTGCAATCAATAAACTCCCTGCCTGGTAACGAGATAGCTACCTCTATTCAGAAGCCTTACTGCCCTGAGACCAACACACCCAGACTTTAAAATGTGCAAACGCATGAACAACTACCAGACTGACTAGAATTAGTGCGGTCGAGCGACTAGACCACTACCCACTAGAGGACGGGGAGCGATTGTAAAGAGATCGACTGGCTTTCACAAGCTTGTGACAGACGTGTCGAGTACTGATTACCATTGGTCTGCTGACAAGTAAAGAATTATACTGCACTTTATTAGGTGTAATATATCTAGACGTACTAATGAATGAAAAGGTAATGCGTCGAAACGGCTTTCTGAATCTGGAGGATTTAGTGGTGTGATAGCCAATGTAAATATGATGGCCTAATTTCCTAAATGAAACATGAATCAGTTTGCCCACATGTTTGTTTAAGCCTGAAGGATTTGCAGAACACTATGATTCGTACCATTGTAGAAAACCCAGAGCCCACTTAGTACCGACCGCGAAGAATGACATGATCTACTAATTTAATAGCATCTTTCCTAAGGGATGTAAATGTATGAATGTATATGAGCCTGTATGAATAAACCGCCTCCTCTTAGGGCCTGTGACTATTTTGAGGAGATTCATTAGCACACTCTGATGAGTATAATGTTAGCAACTTATTGTAGATTCCTTGACATTAGTTGTTTTTCAGCCAGTTATACGTGTTGACACGCGCACAGGTACATCAACTCGTGCTGCCATTACCGAGACAAAACCCTGAGTAGTAGAATTACAAGCAACATTATTAGAAAGTCCTAACCATGGAAGTAATTATTTGAGAAAGGAGGATGAGTTCATGTATTTGAAAGTGTACAATAATTTTGAAACTCAATAAATAAAAAATGAGGAAGCGTAAGTGTACGGACGTCATTACGTCCGATTTCAAGCTATACCACATAACACCCTCAGCTATTAGTTCCAATGATCCTTTGGACCCTAAAGAGGTGGGTCGCATATGTTTGTACTGGTCAGTTTGACAGCCAATGAATTTATGTTCAGTTTTGGCCTGTAAGTGACAAAGCAGATGGAAGTGAATATAAAATATTATGCGTCCACTGATGACAAGAAAGAGAATATTCTTTTTCTACCAAGTTTATTTGAATCCCCAAAGAAATATATCAATCGCCTGAGTTCATGAAAAATTAAGGCTAACTGAATTGCACGTTTACTAACCATCAAGTTAATAAAAACGAAACCCTACTGTATCAATTTTATTTAAAGTATTTCTGAATGAGATTCGAGAAATTTGTAACATCTACGATATTATTTTTAAAAAAGTCAGCAAAGAAAACACCTGTGACAACAAAAGCAAAGTGCAACAAATAACAAGGAAGTTAACGAGAGATAATCAGATCATATGTTGAACAATTAAAATAAGAAAAACAAAAAAACTGAGATATCGTCACTTACTGTGACAATATGTGATCATGAAGTATTAGTTATTACCATTGGTAAAAGAGACAATAAATTTATTTTGGAAAGACTTATTTTTGCCAAATGAAGTTTTCATTTATAAAAAGTTCAAATCATTTAAAACGTTCAATATTACCGGGTTGAAAGGAAGGGGAGGGATATTGATTTAAAAATCAGGGAAGCCACAAAATTATGCAACGATACTATCTAAAAACAATAGAAATTATAGTTAAACAGTGAATAAATAAATTCTTTACCAAAAATATGAAAACACGACAGAAAAAGACATCTATAAACTTGTACAGAATTAACACCACTGTACGGAAGTGGAAGGATGAAATATTGAAATACAATGATAATGAGACTTTAGAATACAGAGGGAAATCAAATAGTTGAGGGATATACAATTTTAGCCACAATAAAGCCAATCCCGAAACTTAGAGCATTGTCTTTCAATAGATAGTTCTTTGGAGAAATGGTTGCGTAACAATACCTGTTTCCAGAAAGCTTTCTGAAAATCACATAATTTCAATCTCCAAAATGACTGAATCATCCTTTCAACACTAGGACGTCCATCGTTATATTTCATGCCATGCATACTAACGTTGTCAGTTGAACTGGACGAAGTATAATTATTAAATCGTTCAATATTTTGTAATTCTTGTGTGAACAATTCAAGGAATAAACAATTGACAGAATCCAACATTTCTTCTTTATCTTCGTCTACACTTTCTACGATTACTCGTATTGTCTAAAAATATCAGTGATAAAAAAGGAAACTTGAAATACACATTAGAATGTTGTGAACATGAAGATAAAACAAATTAGTAAGACTTAAAACATATTTCAGAGTGAAATTTCATTAGTTCATTATGAGGTATACACACTGTGTCTACAGATCTTATCGTCTACGAAAACCCCGATAAAATAGTTAATGATTTAAATCAGTGTTTTACCGATTGAATACTGGGTAGATTGTAGATGTGAAATCAAAATATTCTTGTCAATAGTTGACTAAGAAAATTCTCAGTCAGTCACAACGTACAACCTGCTACGTACGTACACCGTTCCAAGGATTCTATAACCATAGAATTTGAGAAAATGATCAGAAAGAATAACAGATGTTCCTCCGATTATTGATCATTTTTGAGTCTTCAATAGACAAAAGAGAGTGTCATCTTCTATGAAAGCGTGCATTCAATCTAACAAACGCATTGAGAAACTAAAAAGAACCAAAAAACTTAGCATTGTTTCTCTATTTCATGGATAACTATGGTGCTTGTATGAACTAATGATTCCTTTGTGCTTGTTGACTGTATGATTTCAAATTCCAAATACAATACGTCTGTTCGAGCTCATCTAACACTCCTTGGTTAAATTGCGTTATTTCTAAGATTCTTAGTTTTACTATAATTCAAATACTCATAATCATAACAACAATTCCAAACCAAACAACTTTTCGCATTCATATAAAAAGAATTTACAGTCATCGCTGACTTTTTTTTACAAAAAAGTTTTAATAATAATACTTGACACGTATAGATAAAAGTACACACAAGAAATCATTAGAGTGTACTTTTCCAAATTATTTTCTTTATGATAACCATATATCGTCACCACACACCAAAAAAATAACCTGAGCTCCTTGTTTAAAAAGACATATGAGACAATCAAACCTCAACTACATTTCTTATACGTTAGCACACAGTGAACGGTTGAAACTTTGAAAGTCCGAGAATGATCTCTTACCTCCGTTAAACATTGAAACTGATTATAATTCAGTGAAACCTGTTCACTTATATCTCTTGAACTGTATTTGTTGCTGATGAAACCTAAAGGATCAGGAATAACAATTGGAATTTCATGTGCAATTTCTAAAGTATATCCGGAAACATGACTTTTTGAAAATCCATCATTTGTATTATCAGCTGTGTGGTGTTGTTCTATACACTCCTCAGCTATAATATCAGTACCGATCTCTACTGTATCGAAATCTGATTTAGAACAGATATGATAACTGTCAATACTTGTATCACAAGAAATCGAATTATTACTATCTTTTTTACAACTTTCGATATTGTTGGATGGCAGCATTCCACCTAGTATATCCCACTTGGATTCATTTCCTTGTTCAGATGTAACCCAGTAAGGAGACCGATGTAATAAGAATAATAAACGTAGTTTTGTATTTAGATCATGACCACATATACTTTCCATTAACCAAACAAAACTCTAAACAAATAGAAAAAGGGAAATTGAAAAAGTTAGACATACGTTGCCTGAAAAACAAAGTAATTAAGTGAAAAACTAATATATTGGATTAGTAAGAAATCATCTAAACTACAAGTGCACATAGCTGTTCAAGAAATGAATTCCGTTCCTAAAGGATATATATATATATATATATATATATATATATATACATTCGTGTATAGGAAAATCGAGTATCAGTATCAGAATCGGACACAGCACAACACATAAACAAGAAATATATAACCCACCACATAACTGATGAGGCCATAATAAAGTAAGACAAAGAATTTTTTCTAAAAAAAAACACTGGGACTAATGAAGAATCTCTTACATTTATCGTTAAATGTTAGAAAACGCTAGAATATTTGTCAATTTTTTATCTACGAAGATTGAACAAATACAAAAGTGTCAAACTCCAAAATTCTATAGCCTACACATCGCTTTCAAGGTCCATGTTTCATAGTCATGAAGTAATATAAAGGAAACAGCTACAAAGTAAACAACCCCTTGGTAGGTAGACAGATATCTCGCCTACGTTACAAGTGATGCAGGTTGGCAAACACCAACTGAGCCTTCTGAATCCATGGCCGGATTTCGTCGGATACAATCACACCACAGCTGGTGAAAATTTCTAAATAAGTGAAGTGGTTAAGTGCACTCAACTACCTCACTCACCATCGTTAGTCTGAGCACTGATGTACATCAGACCTGAAGCAACATTTTGTATTTGGATGAGGAGAAGTGAGTCTCAAACATGCATGGATTGTTTCTCAAACAGACCAGATGACTTTGCATTTTATAAACGTACTCTAAGTTGGTAAGTGAACCACTTGGTAGGAAATGAACGCCTGAAAAACTGGAGCGACGAAATGTCATATTTAGGACATACATGACGGAATTAAGTAAAAAAGAGCAAATGAACAACCATGACGAATACAGCTTGAAGTTGATAATTCTAGTGACAGTTCCTCATAAGCCCTGGCCGAACAAACAGTGTCTGAGTAGAGAGCCTTCATAAGTCCTATATGATTTCTTAGTATGGCACTATGATTCATAGTAAAATTTCTATACAGTTAGCTTTAATACGTTCGATTTTCCCAAAAGCTATATTCTAATTAGGTTATCGCAATCTCAACTGTAAAATGACATAAGGCTATCAGAAGAGTATAGTTTTATCAAAAATACTAATTAAAGGATAATTCAAATTTACTTATCTCATCTTCGTCAGATAAATTCATATACATATTTTTTCAATTTCTCACCTTAAAGTTAATTAGATTATCTTCATCTTGATCTAGTAGATGAAAGCATGGAAAGCCTAAACGTTGAGCTGCAGCACCCCATGGAACTAATCCCTGAAATAGACTATTAAATTGACGTGCGTCAATACGATGAACATCATAAGCTGGACGATTTGGATTATTTGTTTCATTATGAGTTTTAGCTGGCGCTATTTGATGGATTCGCTCATATTTCGAAAGAATATAGTGGTCCTACAAAGTAGAATTATTATTAAGGTAATTTTTTTTTCGAAAAAAACAGGAAGTACCTTTATATGTTTATTCATGATATAAATGCTACAATAACGTAATACGCGTTACTGAATAAATATGTAAAACATTGGCATAAAACTAAATCAAGATGTATTATTGTTAACTATTAAAAGACATCATAAATGTTCAGGTGGAATATCATTTAAAGTTAAAACAATTAAGAATTTTATGAGGTGGTTGGAGGTTGCCGACAGAAAGCCCCTGCACCTGGGTTTCGTGCTATTTGGCACTCAACAGCAAGATGTATCTATAGTCTTGGGACGACCGATACTCTGGTGAATTCGATTCCGTGTCACTCGACTTCCCAATCAAATACCACGAAACCTAGGTCCAGAGGTTTCCTGTCGACTACCCCAACCACCGCCTTGCATCTTAGCGTAGTGAGCACAATATTAAACCACCAAGACTAATGGCCATATTGAGACTTGACTGATAAAATTCGATCTGTACTAAAAAAGTACTTGACATACATCACACTGGTCACTACTCAACGATCAATCACTTGTAAATTAAAAGTCTATATTTATCCTCGAAAACGACAATATTGTCTTTTTGAGATAAATTAATTACCTAAAACGAAACTGTGACAAATACATTATAAGGTCGAATAATAACCTATAGACTAAAATAAGAATGTTTCAGTCCATCTGTCTACCAAACGATACGCACTACATTAAATCTGTTTATTAGCTATAACATCATTTCTTTTACAATCGCCTTTCGGTATGCCGTACCATACTACTCATTACTAGTAAGCAGTAGTACCACTATAAAGTAATTTGTAGATTTCATTTCAATCGAGAAAAAATTCACATAATTATAATCAAAATACCATCATGAACAAAGAAATACTGACAACAGAATGTAAATGTTCTAACACACAGTTCATTTTTTGGTTTCAAAAAGATAATGATCAATGAAATATTCGATTTATATGCAGGCCGACAACAGGGAGATAGGTCGATTTACTGAGCTAGTTGTGCGACAGTTACAAAACATCAAGCCAGATAAACAGAATTACATAAGATATGAATTTTTAACTAACTGTTATAAGCAGCCAAACAAGTAAATCACTGGAGCGCAACGATATAACTTAGAATAAATCATTAAGCTTACACAACTGTTGACTGAAAAGTAAAACGTCAATTTTTTTCATTACGTAGGTTAACATATACTTTGATTTTGCAATGTGCTTTTAGTATAAGATTCTTGCAGTCGAATTAAGTGTACTTTCACATCGTGCTCCGTTTTAAGATACCATAGTTGTTTAATATTTAATGCCAATTCCAATGAAATCATAAGGCGATGAAAACTGAAGCACTGAACGGCCGTTTCGTCCTAGTATGGGACTCTTCAACAGTGCGCATCCACGATCCTGCACGCGCGAATTATGTACACTTTATTAAAAGTTAAAAATCGTCACTATTATTCTCCTGAAGGAACTTACTCTGTAACATTCAAAAAGCATGATCAGATCGCCAGGACATTCACGATCTAAACTTCTTATAACTTCTTTAGACGTGTAATCACTAAGTGATTGAATTACTTTAGGTCGATATTGTAAACGCATCCGATCGATAAGTTCATTTGTAATATTAAAATTCCGATCAGCTGAAGTTAACAGATTATATATAGATTCATTTGATGTATGATCTTGATGACGTAATTTATTAAAATATGCATTCAGTTTAGTTAAAACACTACTGTCATCGTTTTGTTCAACAGATTTCTTGATAAACGATGTATGCTGACGAAGTACATCTAATGCTATTTGGAAAATAACCTAATGAGTGGTGAGAGAAGTGAAAGAAACACCAGAAACAATAACAAAATGAACACTTAAATGTACATAAAACAAACGGAAATACTTTGAAAAGTACTAAGTTACTACGGGAGTATAAATGAATATCGATTGTATATTTGTTATAACAGAAAACTACTGAACAGAGTGATGTTAACTAAAGAAATCAACGATATTTTTCATATTAATTAACCAAATAGTCAAATCCAGTTATAACACTGAATGAAAACAAGGGAATACTTTATATGATAATAACTATATATGACCTAATTATTAAATGTATTACTTAGTGATAAATCTAAAGGAATTCATTTTCTCTTTGGATCATGTGAGGCTAATATAATATTGATTGTTAACCAATACTATTTCTGTCTATTCTACCGATCACGTTGCATTGTAGTCACAAGTCTAATTGACCTGAGATATTAAATACACTATACTTTCAATTAATGACTGGGTTTTTTTCTGTCATAAGAATCCCATCACTCTTCGTGAAAAGTTCGATGTTTACATAATTTGATGTTCACTTATGAGTACACATTAGACTCTAGCAAAATCATGATTTCTGAGATTCATTCCAGTCTGTGTATAGACTACAAATTTCGACTCTGATAAACAAAATCAATTGCTATGTGGAATTTATGGCATTTATCTATTGAGTGAGCTACATAGCGAATTAACTAAAGGTAGACTGAATGTCCATTGAGTTTCAGCTAAATGTTACGAAGATAAAGCTCTACCAACAAGACTTGAAGGTCCTGAGCTCGATCGTTGTAAAAGTTGTGAGTTCACACTGATGAAAAGTTCTATACTAGGAAGAAATAGTAGTAAAGTGTTCCCTGATTTTTGACGCTACCCTAACTGAATTCAATCTGTGAAATATACCACCAAGTAATTAGACAAATCTCCAAAAAATCTCTTCATCAAGAATAAGCAATCATCAATTCAATTGTGGCATCTGATGGATGACGATTCATATAGCATTGGTTGGCTATTGTTTAAAACTACCGTAACATATAAGAACATAGTATTAAACCCTAGAATATGAGAAAAATAAACCTAGAACATTGACACCACCATAAGGAAAGAAAACTAGAGGCTTTGAGAAGATGACAAATGCTATTTCACAAGTATTACTGTAGTAAACATTAAACAAATAACTTACACGAGCTCCACCATAAAAGAAAAAATCCAAAACGTAAACAGCACAATGAAATGACATAGTACTAACGAAAGAAAAAATCAATAAAATGGAAGTTGACTAGAAAAAACTAATATAGAAATAAGAAAATATATTTAAAAGAAAACGTCAAAAATAAATAATTCTTATTAAAGTTAGATAGTGACTAGCAATGAGATCTAGGATATGAGCTCATTCTTATTTGAGATACGTCGGTTAAATGTACTTGCATCCAAGTGCTGATACTAAAAAGTCCTAAATACAACGAAACGTGCGTTCAGGATTTTACTACTAACCACTATTTGACTTTTAAAAGCAACTTGTGACTGAACGGTAATTTCAAGGCAGTCCTCTCAGTATGTATACATGGTAACAGAGACTAGTCAGTTATAGTTTTAAACATGGCGGGAAAAAGACAAACAAGTAAAAATAGTTATTTACAGGTCTAAGTTTGAAATTAAACGATGACCTTCAATTCACAAAAATAGTATAGCTCAAGTTATATTTGATGCTTATTAGAAATTCAAAAACCATATGAGAACTAGGACCAATTATTATCATGATTGTTATATTTTAACGAAGAATAAATAAATAGCAACTGTTAGGAGTTATTTATGGACTATTATTATACACATATTCTTACTGTATAACTATTAAGTAACTATATTAGTCATATATTAGTCATATTCCTTTTATTATAAGCTCCCATTTGACCTATTGACTACTATTATACGATTTACTGTTCTTAAGTTATTCCCAATTTATTAGTTACAGCCTCTTAAAATCACAGTCACTTCTGGCTGGATCTTGCACAATTGTTACTTCCCATTTTATGGTAAGATGCGGTCTGATTGGCTTGTATATAAACTGCATATGTCTAAAACGCATGATTCATATATCAGAGGCTGATATTGGTGTTCTGGACTGAACCGGCTGAATTAGACGAGAAGCCACTATCTCAGAGGACCAATAAGAACTCAGAGTTGACTCTAAGCTGCTCATACAGATTTACGCGTCATTGGTTTAACTCCGTGTTAAGGTCAAATAAGTCGTGTTCTAATTGGCGATCTTGTCACATAATATATTAACAGCACATAAGGACATAACAATGACCACATGGTCTAATTATACTTTCCAAATATATTGAAGAGAAATGAAAATAATTAGTAGTGTAAAATAGTTAATATTATCTCATGAAAGCTTATCATATTGATTAAGAATGGTATTAATGAAAAGGAACTGTTCCAGTCCATTTAGTTGGATAGTTTAATTAGAAAGGTTCTCTTTCCATCAAACCCCAGAAAGCGGGAGGCCAGCAAAAACAATTAGGTGACAGAAGAAGTTGTTAGTTGCATATAGAGATTTTCGAATAACTCACTTCTGTTTGAAGTTTGCGCTATTGATTTTTTCTAGAGAGATAATGAAAGCTAAACGAAAACTCTACTTCAATCAGAGAATAGAACTTCAGAATAATCTAACAAATATTAACTGTAGACGATACTTACTTTAAAAACAACGTCAAGAACCAGCTTAATGGTAGCATACTGATTAGTTCTGAGCCTAATGACTGACACATATAATGATGATTGGAAGCTGTTGAAAAACCGCCAACCATTGATTCAATATTATATTCAGAAGTGACAATATTTCTCAAACTATCTTGTACTGGAATTTGTAAAACTGATTTTAATTCTGGAATATATTCAACGACTAAAGCATGAAGTACTTGTTGATCAACGCGTACACCAGCAACACGACTATCATAGTAATCAGGTAGTAAACGTTCACAGATTGCTGTCAATAACCAAAATGATTGTTCTTCTGTACAATACAGTAATAAAACACTGGCTACTATATTCATTGATTGACAGTATCCTGAAAAATAATTTATAAGAAATAAAGTATTTTATTTTTCGTATTATACTAATAATTATGATTTTTAACAAAATCATATTGTGCAATTTATACAGTGAAAAACTCAATAAATCATGAGACATAAATACAGCCTATTATAAAGGCTTAGCTTAAAAATTAATTATACTTTTAATATTGTATATCAAGCATTTCAAACTACTTGAAGTTGAAAAGATAAGTGATTCCGGTTAGATTTAATAAACTATAGACAGAAGACGTTTGTTACTTAGATACACGATCTAATATTTAGTTGTGCGCAATAGAGGTCTCCATAACTCTCTAAATCACCTCCCTTTGTAACTATGTATATATTGAGGTACATATACCTATTTCTGATTTATCTTAAATATCTACTTATGTATGTTAACTACATAATATTCTTATATACTTTTAATTAGGGCTTAAAACTGACAATAAATGTGGTAAAAGTATGATATGCGAACATCCTTGAGTTAAACGATCCAAATTACGATAACTCCTCATCGATTTTGCAAGAAATTCAAAGGGCAGTGATAGATAACTTGCATGTTGTTATTAAATAGATGAAAGTTGACAATAATTGATTCTTAAAATGATCGAAGTCAATAAAAATATTTATTGCACAACCAAAACGTCAAGATATTGTTTAACCTAAATGACACAGCATAGATGCACCTAAGGTGGATTGTGCGCCAAAATGCTTAATGTATAATCGAGATTGCTTAGTGAAGCTATATGATATTCTTACTCTTACTGTCAGTCACAACCCTAAGTTTGTAAACAGAAGGGTGGCAAAGCATTGAATTAAAACTGATGTAAGTTTGTGATGAAAACACCAACCCTAATTTGTAAACCCAACTCAAAACTTCAACCTCATTCTTGATACCTAATCTTACTCTTTTACGTTATAACCGATGTTATGTGATAATGAAAACTCTATGCAGTGATAACCCTAATACACAACAGTAGTTCGACTACTTATATGTAAACTTGGGATTTTTCCTTTAATATGAGGAATAATTTGACATGTGAGGACTAATTATTCAAATCAAGCTGTTATTCCACTGGTTTTCAATGTTAATTGTTTTATAATTAGGCGTTTCCTGATTGGCTGATAAGTCGTCCAAGGTTATCAGTAGATTATACTTTTACCATAAATAGTGATATCGTTCAAAGGGATTTATATTTTCTTCCAGGTATGTCATTTAGGGAAACAGGATATAACCGAGTTGAAATTCGTAAATTCAAAAGGCTATACAGACAAGTCACAGTACGTTATCTAGTACACATATCGGATGGTGGAACAAGGTGTAGGAATAGAACAAATCAAAACTTATTTTCATATACATTTTTAAAGTATTTACGGCTATAATATTAATCGTTGTAATACTTTATTTCTCGAGCCCAAAAACGCCTTACTACGATCAAACACATATAGTAAAAGACAAAATGATTATTATTGATTGGTTTTAGAATGAAACGAAATTGTTTAATATTTCTTGAAATCTAACTAAAATCGGGAAGTTTATTTGAAACATAAACAAGATATGGACTATCAGAACATTAATCATTGTTAAATGGTGAGTATTAAATACTCTCAAGTTATTCAGTACGAAAGATTTTTTCATGACTTTATCACCATTAACTTCGATCTTCTTTATAGAGTTTAAGTAGAGATCGAAAAATATTGATGAGAATCATTTGTGCCAAACAACTACATTTTGAGCTGTTGGGGATTGCTCTTAAAACACTACTGTATTGTAAATTACTACTGTCGTGTATTGATTGGTCCTTGGTGTTAGCTATAAGACGTCTAATTAGTCTTTCATCCTGTTGGTTCATGTCTCTTTGATGAAATTATAAATTATGGATAGGCCAATTAAATTTAGGATAGGGACACAGAATTTTGAGCGAATGTCATTTGTTTAAATAGTTAAATAGCATTTTGGCATTATAGCTGATCTCAGCTTGTGATGAAAATCCGAACTCTAGTTCCTCACACTGATTCACAATCCTAGTAAGTGGCTGAAGTTGCTAAAAGTCACTTAAAAATCACTCAAGGTTATTCAATAAATTATAGGATGACTGTCTAATCCTAATATCTTAACTTGCTAGGTTTAGCACTCTAATTCTAGCATTTTAACCTTAATAATCAAATTGCAGGTTAAGTAAGCGACTATCATCAATGAAGCAGTGGCTACGTGTGTTCCTGTAATCTATTCAATCATTAAAAGAATAGGCTGTTACTGGTATAGCCAAAACTTGTCACCTCTAATAGACTTTTATCTCAACATACGCCACCCCGTAAAATAACGTTGTCTCTGTTATCCATACTTCTTCTGTATGTCATTTGGTGCCCACAGTTACATAAGATAGTATTTCTCTTTAGTACAAAGTTTTGCAAGTGAACGATGATTATACCATCATTCAAACTAGCCAGAATACGGAATCTCATCAGAAACATGGTTCCCTATAACAGGGATCTGCAATTGTGCTCTGAAAATGCCGCTTCATTTCAACGACTGACATTTTTAAGCTGGTTGGTCGTTTCAAGGCTGTCTGTATTGTTTAATTCGATCAGTCTACTTACTTTAGTCAAAGCATAAAAAGACATTCGCAAAAGTCAGTGTGATCTTTTATCGCTGTGTGAGGAGGTTGGTATGACTGAACAGTTATTATACATATAAGACACACGACGTTACATCCGATGTTGTACCAGTGGTTTCTACGTGGAGATATTAACTCTCAAAACAGAACAAAATATTAGTAAATAAGTATACTAATTAAATATTGGATTATATTGAATAATAAGCACTTAGTACAAAATTACTAACTAGCCAACGAAAATGTTTTTTTTTCAAAAAAAACATTGGTTTCGTCGACGAACAAACCAACCTACCAACATTAGGATTACGATAAGCATACGCAGTAAGAACTCGTCGAAGAGACTGAATACCCTCTGGTGTATGATAAGCAGGATGTTCCGGGAATGAACGGTGTAAATCCCGTTCAATTTCTTCATTGACAAAATTATTGCATCCTTGAACACCATTGATTAATTTATCATAATAACCTGGATTGGCAAACATCTATGAAATATAATTACAGACAAATAATAAATGAGATAATTATGTGCGGAATTAAATCAACTTTAAAAAAAAACTGCATATTCTGAACGCCTTCGAATCAAGCGCTCCATTGATAAGCATAGATTCAAACAATTGGTAAAGCCTATCGCTTATTTCAACAAACCCTGCTTTATATCGTATCTAATCATCTTAATGCTCTCCAAGTGTTTAGATTAACCAATGCGATATGTTATTTAGTTAACCAAAATAATATAAGGCTGTTTATTGGTTAAAGTTATCATATTTCGCATCAATCGATGAAATGAAACAGGGAATTAAAAATATGAATACCAAAATGGTCAAAATATTAAGTCTTCTTAAGCGTATATACTAATGACTCATGTGAACAGTAGTGAGATAATTCCAAAAGTTCTAGTGAGAAGACGTGACTAGTGGAGTTCAACCATTTTGAGTGTGAAGCAGTCGCTCACCAACGGCACTAAAGGATTTCCGCGCAATAAGATGAATGGGCTGAGATTAGAAATGTATAAAAATTGGATGCCGGCCCTGTGATCTAAAGATTAAGTGCTTGCTGAGAGACCTGAAGACCCTGTGTTCGATCCCCAGTAGAGCCATGGATACACATTGCTGAATAGTTCCATAATAGGATAAGACTCCTGTCCAGTGCTTCCTAGTTTTCAATCGCTGTCTAAGTAATGTCGGTCTGTAGCGTCAGTTGAAAACTCTACATTAACCAAAAATTTTATTTCCCAAGGAGAGTATTAATAAGAATCACAATGATTTTCGTCATGTGATCGATAGTGAAGAACAATGATACGATTACTTCTCTTTTTTATAAATAAAAGATAATAAGCACACATGTAGGAAGAAGAAGTAGTTATGTCATTTTTATCTGAATAAACATGTGAAATACATATGTTGACATGTTATTTCATAGAGAACTACTTATTTATTTTTCGCTCTATTTTAACTACTTAATTACTACTAATAATCACTTGAAAAAGTTTTAAGAATACTTTAATGTATATCGAGTAACTCAAACGAAGTAAAAATTCACATGAGAAAATTTTAAGTGACTTATAAATAAGTGGAAAGAGATTGAGAGGTAAAACTGGTATAACTTTTTTTTAAATGAATAAATAACAGATTCCACAGTTAATTTTATAGTAAATAGTACAGCGTTTAATAAAAATGTTTATTGTTCTCCCGATAATAAAATTTCACTTGTGAAATAAAATGTTCTTAACTAGAATATTCAAGATGAAAGACTGATAGTATCCACATGTTTCATAACATAACGAAGTGGATACGTTAAGTTCGAATTGGTAAACAACTATTTAAAGCAACTATTATCCAGGATCATAACTACAATAAAAATATATTTACTTTTTTCAACAAGAAGAATTATTTTTTCAAACAACCAAAAAAAGCAAATGTTAATTTCACTACTGATCTGTTTACCTTATGTTTTAACTGCTAGAAAAGACTTAATAAATGTCAATTTCTTGCTCAGTTTGTAGTATGTCATCGTAAAGACAGTTCGAGATATGAAAATGAATAAATAAATGCTATAGGACATGTTGTAACACGTGTACTTTTACCTAAACAAGTAATCTATTAGGTAACGGAAACCCCCTATAAACTGAAAGGTAAGGTTTCTTAACGATCTGTTCAACAATATGGATTAGTGTATCATCATACTTGATCATATGGCTAGATTACATTTCCATACGTATAGGTGTCTACAATTATATAAGAAATTTTATCGAAACGCCAGCAACACCATATAGTCACATTAACTTAATAACAAGTATAAAAATAAGAGTCTAAAATGACTAAATGATATTCATTAAATAAGAGGATAGGAGTTTAGAAAAATTTGTAAACTTTGTTACCTCATTTTCAGCTCCACTTAAAATCATCCATAAAATTCCTCGTTTTCCTTCAGGTAATCCATTTAAAACAAGGTGTTTAAGACGTTCATTCCGATACATTGACATGCCAGACCCAAACTCTTCAAAATATTCCTTCCAATCATCTAAACGTTTATTTTCATCATCAGGATTATCTACGCTGAAAGGATTATTATAAGAATAACGACTAGCGAAGCATCCGGATCCATCTAATTGACAAACACAAAGATAATAGTTCAACGAAAAAGGAGGATTCAAAAAATAACAGCAACAAGTTAAAATGACGAAGGCATTAAACACTTACTCTTTGAAAAGGACACGATGATTTCAAGTTCAGAACATAATATTGGTTGTTTATATATATATTCCAAACATAAGTTACATGTAGTTTGAATAGAATAGTTATTGCTAAACATAATAAACTGGAACTCCAAAAAAAAATATCGGATTATTCAATACTGAATAAAAACTACATTATGCTAATAGGTACGGAACCTAAGTTAACAACTATGTAGAGATAATCTTTAATTGTTTGACATTAAACAAATAAATATAAATGAACATTTATAATCGTTGTGACAAATGTTTTATTAAACAGTTTATGAACTATATCTTATCGAATAATTTATTCGCTTCCTTTTACATCTAAATGTTGCATTCCTTTCTGAATCAACTTGATCACTGGTAACCGTTCTATATACATGTCAAGCAGTGTGATAGGATAAGTTTACTGTTTACTAAAAGTAAAAAACTGCTATCAACAAATACGTAAAGCAATAGAGTTCTGCAAATTTTCATTTATATGTACCCATGATAAGAGATTTTAGAATATGTATGTTTGTAATGATAGAACACAACTAACGAGGATAGCCATAAACTTAAAATCGATTGTAGCTAACATACCCTAATCTTATGAAACGATCAGTAAATCCAGGTTATCACAACAAAAGCTATATGTGCATAAACTTATTGATTGGTATAATTCACTACAAAATATCACCTGATCATATATTTTGAATAACTGTTTCAATTAGCATATGTAAATAAAACTGTAATTCTTCACAGTATAATTGTGATTACAAGTCCCTTTAAGAGGATCAATATTTCAGACCATATATCACTGCATACAACGGAAAAGTGTTTAATATTAATGAAACGTGATGACTTGATAGGACTTAAATAAGAGATAATGTGACTGGCAGTTCAGCTATCAAGTTATATATAGATTTGTGACGATATCATGTATAAACTTTCGTAGATAATCGTCAAAAGTCATTTCTTAAAATGATCGTACCGCCCTCCATCCTAATTTTTTGTGGTACAAAATTACTGAGTACTAATGAGTTTGCCGAATGGTTAATCAAAGATAACCCGAAAATTAAAAACTTTATTTGTTGTAAAGTGTACTGACCAATAGAAATTTTGAAAAACTTGTCCTTTAAACTTCTTATTTATAATCAGTAAAGAATAGATGGAATATGACTAGTAGTGAAATCGAGGACAATCGTTTCGTCCTATACGAGGGATTTCTTAGTTGGATGTACCTGTATAAGAAAGGATCAAAATCATCCAGTGACAACCATAGAGAGATTAGTTTAACTAATATAGCATATAAAATGCTGGCCTCAATAATTATCGGGAGCCTAACTAAGACTCGTGAAAATCAGGCTGGCTTCAGACCTGGTCGTGGCTGCATTGATCACATATTCACCATTCGTCAGGTTCTAGAACACAGGCATACTTACCGGCGTCCGACAATGGTGGTCTCTCTTGACCTAAAAGCAGCATTTGACTCGGTAGGCCGAGAGGTTCTGTGGCAGTGTCTGTCATTGAAAGGCGTACCCCAGAAGTACATAAACCTTGTGAAGGCTCTTTACTCGAACACTACTAGTCAAGTCAGAGCTGATGGCGAACTGTCGTTTGTTTTTGCAACCTCAAGTGGTGTCCGTCAAGGCTGCCCACTTCCTCCATTTCTGTTTAACTTCATCATAAACTTACTGCTGGAAATAACATTCTCGTCGACTGAATTCTCGGGTATTGAGCTCCTTCCAGGAGGTCCACTTATCGACTTAGAATATGCAGATGACATAGTCCTGTTTGGTGAAGACGCTGACAAAATGCAGAGTCTTCTGGTAGCACTAAGCAACAATGCCAGAATGTTTGGGATGCGCTTCTCTCCCTCTAAATGCAAGTTGTTGCTTCAGGACTGGCCTGTGTCAACATCTGAACTGAGGATAGGGAGTGAAGTAGTCGAACGCGTTGACAACTTCACTTATCTTGGAAGTCTGATCAGCCCCAATGGGTTGACGTCTGACGAAATCTCAGCACGGATTTGAAAAGCACGTTTGGCTTTTGCCAACTTACGTCACCTTTGGCGGAGGCGAGATATCCGTCTACCAACCAAACGACGTGTTCACTGCGCAGCAGTTCGTTCTGTCCCACTTTACGGCTGCGAAACGTGACCATTAAGAGTAGAAGATACTCGTAAGCTACTAGTATTTGACAACAGATGCCTTAGAAATATTGCTCGCATATGCTGGGATCACCGGGTAAGTAATAATGAGGTTAGACGCAGGGTATTAGGGAATGATGGTAAATCAGTTGATGCGTTTGTGAATCTTCATCGAATGAGATGGTTGGGTCACGTGTTGCGTATGCCTGAACACCGATTACCATGATGTGCAATGCTAACTGGTTTTGGGGATGGTTGGAAGTTAGGGGTGGCCAAACCAAAACGTGGCATGAGTGCTTGAAGTCAATAACTTCTGGTCTGAGCCATGTTGGTAGATACAGACTACTTGGTTGGGGTCCACGTGACCATCGTAACCAATGGTTAGAGACTCTTGGTGACATGGCTCAGAATCGATCACAATGGCGTCGGTGTACACACTCTCTGTCTTCTCTTAAACTATGAGACTAAAATTATTTCATATCTTTCTTTCTACGAAATAACTGTTTTTCCTGTACTATATCCTTTATATGCAATCTTTCCTTTATATATTACACCATTGACTTAACTACTCCTATGAATTTGATGTTCATCTTTCTGTGCTAATGAGGTGTGGCAACTTGGACCGATGCACATATGTGCCTGGTCCTACGTTGTAACTGACTGACTGTACCTGCATTCCAGAATTGATGTTCACTCCAGGACTTGAACTCAGCAGTGCACGCTTCAAATGGCATCGCGTTGTTCACTTAGCTACTAAGTTCAGAAAGCCATTTAATCGTGAAATTGAAACTAGTCATATTTCAAATCGAATTATCGTAGGTTAATAAGTAAAATAATAAGTAATAAGTAATAAGTAAAATAGCATAAATGTTTATACCAAGGTTAAGCGCAACATTATCACTAAATTCTTTATTTGTTAATTACTACCCAAAAATTGAATATCAATGGCTAATGTAATCTAAGCAATGATGAATTATTTAAAGTGGATTATCAAAATATACTTAAATTTACCAAGTATGATAAATGTCAACAACCAACTGAAAATATTATAACAAGTTCATTACAAAACTAACTGTAAATTATTTGACTGACTACTTATTATAAAACAGAACAAAATATAGGCCAAAAAGCGACAGTGAATAAATTCACTGATTAGATATTTTACTATTTGAATGATGAACTTAGAGCTAGTACTAACTACTACAGTAAAGTGTTAGTTGTCGTTTAAGATATATGGTTTATTATAAACCATAAATACAAAGTGTCCAGGTTAATCATTCACAACTTACTTGGAAAATTTAACTGACTAGTAGTATTTGGTGAACTAATAACTGTTAGACTATCGTTAAACGAACTTGCTATTGAAGTTATGACATTTGAAGGTTCAGATTTAGTGCTGAAATGAATAAAAGCAAACAACTATTATGATTCATAAAAATAGTAGATAAAATACATTATTATGAAGATCCACCGGTGAGATAGTAGTGGACTACTCAATTTCGTACGAAATTCAAGGCGCTGTGACAGATGGCTTGTGTCTTAATAAAATTTAGGTAAATTCTATCAGTATTAGGGCTACTAAATTAATTAACATTGGTAAATATAAGAGGAACAAAGAATAGGGATTGTGACCTATAGCTTTAACTCAAAGTTTATTGTTACTAAAAATCAAGTAACTAACTACATAAGTATTTATTCATACGGGTTACAAAGCACTTGTCTACTCGATTTCTTACAATTGCTCCTAACAGCTAACACTATATTTCAATTAAGTGTAACTGAAACTCCTAATCCTAAATCCGAATGAAACTTTTAACCCAAAATCTCTGACAGAACTCTCAGTCCTTATTGGATTTCATGTAAGAAATTAGTTATTTATATCACCTGTTTTCTTGTTGACTAAAAATCGGCTTTACCCTCTCAAGGTCATTTACGAGCCTCTGAAAATTTATAAGCTTCCAAGCTACAGCATAAAGCCATGGAGTCCGCACACTGATTCTTTAGACTTCAGGAGGTAAGTAAACAATATCTGATAGCTCTGATTCGTCATTTTTATCAGCCTTCCTTTCTTTTTTTTATTTTGTTTATCTTAGCTTACTGCTATTGATGATTTTTCTTTGTTTAGTTTTTTTCGTCTATCGATTTTTTCAGGGTCAGCTAACTCAACTGATACGACTTGAACGGATTCATTTACCAGTCAGGTTAAAATGAAGTACAGTTAAAAAAACGTAAGATATTTCAAGGCCTGCTGAGTTTATAACATTACAAACTGATTGTACACTTTATTTAAACAAATATAACTGCAAACTTGTTAAAATAATATAATAATTAGGTTTTCATAAGAAATGCCTTATGTTAAGTATTAAGATAACTCAAATGTATTAAATTTCAATAAACACCTTTTTCTTTTTACCCTATCAGCACATTTTTACCAGGCATTTTTTGTAATTTTCTGCTGAAAAAATATGTTCAAACTAAAAAACCTCTGAACTGAAACGATGATCTTACTATCCAAGAGTCAGTCGAAAACAGGAAGAAAATCCCTACTTAAGAAGAACTATGACTTATGAACGTACGCATTTGAGACCAAGAGAAAAAGTGAATAAAACCATTGACTGAACTGTATAATAATTGCGCAAAATTATAAATTACTAAGTGTTTAAACAATGTTACCTAATAAACTGTATTCTAGTGATAAGAGATGATTATGAAAGCTTAAAATAAGAGAAATTTGACAAGCATAGTTTTGAAATTCTGAAACTAAGAACTATAAATCCATTGCTTCGTGGTGTTGTTTCAACTGTGTATGAATACTGTTAGGATAACAAGGTTCTGCAATATTGTGGTTAGTAAGAGTTAATACAACTTCATCAAGATATAATCTTATACTACTAAACGAGACTGATCAATCGCAGTCTTAAACATCAATGGAACGATCCAAACGACTAATATCCATATGAATTAGAATTCACACCATTGTACAAGCCAGTAGCTAAATGCTTCTAATTGTGACACAAAAAACTACACAAATAATTCCTACCCTCTTGATACTTCCAAATTACTGCCAATTTTCTTTAGAATATCCTCGGATCCGACAATACCAGTAAATATATAAACAAGCTAAAAAAGACAGTAAAGAGAATTTAAACGAGACTTATTAAACATATAAATTTATGACTCATTAATTAATAATTAACTCATGGGTTTACCAGATACTTGGAGGAAAGTTAGGGGTGGCCAAACCAAAACGTGGCATGAGTGCTTGAAGTCAATAACTTCTGGTCTGAGCCATGTTGGTAGATACAGACTACTTGGTTGGGGTCCACGTGACCATCGTAACCAATGGTTAGAGACTCTTGGTGACATGGCTCAGAATCGATCACAATGGCGTCGGTGTACACACTCTCTGTCTTCTCTTAAACTATGAGACTAAAATTATTTCATATCTTTCTTTCTACGAAATAACTGTTTTTCCTGTACTATATCCTTTATATGCAATCTTTCCTTTATATATTACACCATTGACTTAACTACTCCTATGAATTTGATGTTCATCTTTCTGTGCTAATGAGGTGTGGCAACTTGGACCGATGCACATATGTGCCTGGTCCTACGTTGTAGCTGACTGACTGACTGAATATAGGGCCACACCTTAGATGTAAGGGCTAATGATACCACCCTGTTTCCTAAGCCGAAGTAAGGTTTGGAACTAAACTCTAGTGGTTAAAAGTCGGACACCCTGACCGATAAGTCACTACTGCACCTGAGTTGATGAAAAAAATCATAAATATGACGCAGTGACCAAATAAAGATGTTTGGTCTTAAGCAGCATTTATCGTGTAACAACTATTGATACTAATCAGTTACCAAAAAAAGGAAATGGAATTTAAATCTTTTGGGTAAGAACAGAGTTCTTTAACCAAAAAACAAGTTTCTCGTTTTAAAAAACTTAAAATGGTTCTAATTCGTTCAGTTAAAAATACTTGATAAGTATATATTCATGTGCTTCACATTGTTTGTGTGAGATCTAATGAAACGATACAGATGTCCAAACCCAGGTAGGTGGAGAAGAGTTCGTACGCCCGGGAAGTATCACAGCTCTCACACAAATCAATGATAATTACTGCTGGCCTCATTGCTATTGTGTGGCGTAAATTTATTTGGTGTCCCCTTGTACCAATGTTTATGTATTCAAGTAAATAAATAGCCCGGATTTGAGACCTTACAGTCTGAAGCCAAATAGTAGAAATTCCTTTATCAGCTAGAAACAATATAAAGTCGTCCAAATACAGACGTAACCAAAGTACCCCAATAAACTGGACATGAGGTAATGAGAAAAATCTATACCGTTACTTTGAAACTTTATCTACATACAGTCATTTCTCCCAAACAGCAGCGTAAAATATCTACGTTATACAGCCTCAACTGAATGAGTAAGACATGCAGTCCTGTGAACAGGTATTTTGTAGACTGAACAAATCGGTCCCGGAGAACAGTATTGTGATAGTGTGCCCTAAGATTCGTTTTGTTTGGTTTTATAGATTTAAATTAAGTGCTGAAAAGTATCAGGTACAATAATATCTCACATAAACCTTTCAAGTGTATTTAAAATCACTGTAAGATATGAATCGACCAACCCTATAATCATCAATCATTTATGGAACGTGACCAGATTAATTTCATACTGTTCTAAGAAACTGTTTCGATTTTAAGGTGGTTCGATAGACAGAAATAAACAAATCAACTACCATGAATGTGAATTAATCAGAAGTGTTATATTTTCCACCAAAAGAGACGAATGGGAAATTACCGGACAGAAAGACAAAGAGAAAGTCATTATGACAGACAGTAGTGAAAAGCCACAATTAGGACAGTGATAAGTTAGGATAAGAAAGTTAATTCACGGGTTTTCTCTAACTAAATATAACATTTCATAACATTAGCTTTATTCCCAGTGCAAAAGTTAGACATTGTTTTTATTCACAATATAACATTTTATTTAGTGTAGCATTGGTTTTAGCATCAGTATAACATGTTAGTCAGTAAGACATTGGGGTCATAGATTTTAATGAATTTTTAGCCGATATCAGTTTATAGTGAGAACCATCTTCAAAAAGCTTATAACAGGAGACAAAAATTGATGTCGTAATGATCCTTGTTGCAAGTGAATGGGTGTATAAAAACTATTGAGTGCTATTTTATTGATCAGGACGCCAGAAAATCACCATTTACATTAACAATTAGACAGTAACTAACTTTATCAGCTGTTATTATGATGACTCCTCCTGTGGAAGTTGAATCCCTTTGTGGAAATTCTTCGGCTGAAATTATTTCGCGTAGAGGAAGAATAATCTTAGTGCTTTCACCCTGTACATTTTAAACCATAACAATACAACAGTTACTAAAGACTGATACTAGAATGCATAGAAGAAAATATGAGTGAAAAAAACACTTCTTGAATATATCCAGAAAAATGTAAAACATTTGTTTACTTCTATCTGAAGTTTGTGGTGATGATGTCGTTCAGAAGAACGATGAAAGCTCCACGACCAAACCATCCAGCTCAGAGAACAAAACTCCGTCAAAATCATTCATGTGAGCTACAAATCTTCTCCAATATTTGTTTACCTAGGAACTTGTGATACCAACTAGCCATATGTTATAACCCCCCCAGGTTTTGTTAAGTAATGAATAAGCCAAAACGCTCTAATAATATACTTATCGAATTAAATTGACTGTAGTTTATCACAAACAGACAAAAAGATTTATGATGTTCGAACTCCATTAATATTAAGTACTGAGGAAATAATTGCAATATAATGTTTTAACATCATGATTGATAGGTAAAACAACATAAAGCTAAAGTGCTATAAAATAGTAACAGTGTGAATAGCACAGTATTGCAATCACAGTTGAAAAAAACAGACATAGCTTTCTCTTAAATCTAATATTCATGTTCTTTTGATTACTGTAACTATGTATCAGTTGGATTATTCAGGGGTTACAAATTTCTTAGTCATGAACATAAATTTCTACTAATAACCTATCAAACATTTGGGCGATAAAAAATATTCCAAAAGTAAATTGGAAGACATAACTTTTTATAGGGGTTTTTATTAGTTATATTTCTGTAAGTGATGCTAATCAATAGTGATAAAAGTTGAACAATTAGTAAAACTTAAGAGGTATAAGAAAGTTGTTTCATGCTATCCAGAAATCCCTTGTGATTTCTAGCATCAACTACGTATTCTTTAGTGAAAGCAACACACATGTCATCCAAAGATATGATTAACCAAACAATGAGTTGGTACAAGTTTCAATCTATTCGGTTTTTCAAATATGAATTTGTATTTTAAAGGCCAATATCTTTAAAGGAGTTAGATAGTTTCGGATCTAATCTAGAAAGGATACCATGGTTAAAAACTGCTGATGAGTTCTGTAATAAGAGATTAAAAGCAAATTCTTAGTATTCAGTGGTTTATAATAATTATTTCTCTAGTGCCTATTCACGAAAATAAATCAGCTAAAAATTTATAAGTCCACAATTTATCACGTCAAAATGAATTACGAATGCCAGCATTTTTACAAAAACGGGAATGAACTAAAACAGATCACACAGATATTGACCTAATCTCTTTATCATTGTAGGCAATATAGCTTCATTGTTTAGAGTATAATAAGTGTCAAAGAGGAAACAAATACATAATTCAGTGATAGATTACACTTTTCAGTCAAGTCAGCTGGTTTCTCAATTTTGCAAATGATGATATTCACATTAGACCACTGATTAACTGCTAGCATAATTCATTCAAATTTACAGTTGATTGAACATTTGAAATGATATGTCAGTTATTATGAATATGAATGTCGTTTAGTTATCAACTAATGAATACAACAGTCTTCTGCAGTTTTTTTCCTTGAGTCTTGTTCCATTGTAGTCAATAGTAGGTAGCAGGTAGTAGCTATTCCACAGTCATGGTAGACAGTTGTATCAGTATCAGGAATCACTATTTGATTCAAGTAATTACACTGTTCCAAATCATTACAAAAAGTCTAATCAATTGAAAATTCACTGAACAAATAAATAAACTAACCGACGAACAGTAACAAATAAATTGAGGAGATAAAAACATTTTCCCAGAAATAGTTTCAGTATTATCCAACCGTTGCAGTTTACAATCAAAAGAAGTCTCTATAATTTCATATGAAGGTAAATGAAACGAATCTTGAAAATGTTGACTACGGATTAGTACATCCAACTTATCCAGTAAATTGGACGAGTTCTGAGTAAGTAAACTGGTAAAAAAAGAAAGAGGGAACATAGATATTTGTGACTAAGTGATTTGATGAGAAAATGATAAAATTTAGCATTTGTTAATTTGGCTTAGTTAAGATAGAAATTTCAAAGAATTTTTCACCTGAATACTATACTTAAGAAACTATTGAAAAGTTGAAAAGTTCTGTTGTATTTTTTTCTAACTTATCAAGGTTGAATTGTGGATAGCAGTAGAATACAGGAAGCACGTCTCATTAGTCAAACGTACTTGGATTCCGGTTTTAATGTTCAGTTCGAGACTCGAACACAGTACTTTTAGCTTTAAATGATTATAAATTGAAAACTAATTTGTACACATTACATCATTCAGGTAGGCATATTTACTGAAAGTTCAGCACAGCTAAAAACCAGTCACATAGAGCTTCCTTGTGAATACTTGTTTACGGTCAACCGGATTCACTTCAGTACTTTTTTAAACCTTAACATTAACGTGTACTAACTTTGGGAAAGACATTTTCGATCCTAACCTTATGTTTATAAGAATCAAGAATAGACCGAATTTGTGAATATTCGTTATCCATATCCAGTTATGCTATTTTCCTAATCCACTTTCTTAGTATTATAAGACTTCATCGAACATATGTCGCAGCCAATACAATATGGTTGAGTCTTTAAGACGGGTTGATGGAACATCATATTAGAGCAGAAGTAACAATACCATTTTACAACAGACTAATCACTGAACTCGCATCTCAGAAGTAGCATTCCCGACCCACACATCTAATAGAATACCTGGAACTTTGAGTTGCAATACAGTTCCTGAAACAGCGGATATGCAGTGTTGATGAAAACATCAAAGCGTACTTGAAGAACTGAAGATACTTGGATTCACCTTAAAAAGTAGGCTTGAACTTATCTTCACCATCCTATACTGAAATAACTTCAAGTAATTACTAATATCCGCACAAATCGTAACTTATAAAATTACATGGATAATAGAAATCGTTTAAGAGGGAGACACAGTAATCAAACTAGCAATAAACAAATATTCACAAAAAATTGATATCTGGAAAACTCATTTTGTAATTTATTACAATCAGTTTTAACAAGCGAGTTTCAGAGTTATATGATTTCCTAAAAGCTAAAGTATGTTCATCACCCGAACAAATGATAGGGAGTGAAGTGGTTGAGCGTGTCGACCGCTTCACTTATCTTGGAAATCTCATCAACCCTTTTGGTCCGGTATGTGACGAAATCTCAGCACGGATACAGAAGGCTCGACTAGCTTTCGTCAACTTGCGTCATTTATGGCGTAGGCGAGATATCCGTCTATTAACCAAAGGACGTGTTCACTGCGAAGCAGTTCGTTCCGTCCTACTTTATGGCCGTGAAACATGGCCGGTAAGAGTAGAGGATATTCGTAGGTTACTAGTATTTAATCATAGGTGTCTTCGAAACACTGCCCGTATATCCTGGGACCATCGAGTAAGTAACGCAGCTGTTAGGAAACGGGTGCTAGGTAAGGATGGCAAATCAATTGGTGAAGTAGTGAAACTTCAGTTGAGATGGTTGGGACACGTGTTACGTATGCCCAACCACCGACTGCCTCGACGTGCGATGTTCAGTGGTATAGGAGACTCTGTGGCAGTGTGTCATTGAAAGGCGTACCCCAGAAGTACATAAACCTTGTGAAGGCTCTTTACTCGAACACTACTAGTCGAGTCAGAGCTTATGGCGAACTGTCATCTACTTTTGCAACCTCAAGTGGTGTCCGTCAAGGCTGCCCACTTTCTCCATCTTTGTTTAACTTCATCATAGACCTATTGATGGAAATAACACTCTCGTCGACTGAATTCTCGGGTATTGATCTCCTTCCAGGAGGTCCACTTATCGACTTAGAATATGCAGATGACATAGTCCTGTTTGGTGAAGACGCTGACAAAATGCAGAGTCTTCTGGTAGCACTAAGCAACAATGCCAGAATGTTTGGGATGCGCTTCTCTCCCTCTAAATGCAAGTTGTTGCTTCAGGACTGGTCTGCGTCAACACCTGAACTAAGGATAGGGAGTGAAGTAGTCGAACGAGTTGACAACTTCACTTATCTTGGAAGTCTGATCAGCCCTAATGGGTTGGTGTCTGACGAAATCTCAGCACGGATTCGTAAAGCTCGTTTGGCTTTTGCCAACTTACGTCACCTTTGGCGGAGGCGAGATATCCGTCTATCAATAAAAGGACGAGTATACTGCGCGGCTGTTCGTTCTGTTTTAATTTACGGCAGCGAAACATGGCCCTTAAGAGTAGAAGACACCCGTAAGCTACTAGTATTTGACCACAGATGCCTTAGAAATATTGCTGGCATCTGCTGGGATCACCGGGTAAGTAATAGTGAGGTTAGACGCAGGGTATTAGGGAATGATGGTAAATCAGTTGATGAGGTTATGAATCTTCATCGACTGAGATGGTTGGGCCACGTATTACGTATGCCTGAACACCGATTACCGCGACGTGCAATGCTAACCGGTGTAGGGGATGGTTGGAAGAAAGTTAGGGGCGGCCAAACCAAAACGTGGCATCAGTGCCTGAAGTCACTAACTTCTAGTCTGAGCCATGTTGGTAGATGCAGACTACTTGGTTGGGGTCCGCGTGACTTTCGTAACCAATGGTTGGAGACCCTTGGTGACATGGCTCAGAATCGATCACAATGGCGTCGGTGTATACACTCTCTGTCTTCTCTTAAACTAAGAGATTAAGATCACTTCACATCTTTCTTTCTACGAACTAATTCTTTCTTCCTATACTATATCCTTATTGCAATCTTTCTCCTATATATTACCACCTTTGACCTAACCACTCCTATGAATCCGGTGTTCATCTTGCTGTGCTAATGAGGTATGGCAACCTGGGCCGATGCATACATGTGCCTGGTCCTACGTTGTAGCTGACTGACTGACTGACTGACTGATAGGAGTAGGTTGGAAGAAAGCTAGGGGCGACCAGACCAAAACATGGCACAAGTCCATGAAGTCACTGACAAGTGGACTGAGCCATGTTGGTAGGTGTAGACTACCTGGTTGGGGACCGCGAAATAATAGCAACCGATGGTTAGAGACCCTGAATGACATGGCTCAAAATCGATTGCAATGGCGCAGGTGCATCCACTCTTTGTGTTCTCCCAAATTCTAATCTTCTGAATTCTTCATGTCTCTTTCCAAATTTATTTCACTGGATTATACTCTTTGAATAGCATCTTCAGACCCTAATCTTTCAGATTACTGCTTATACTCTTACTACCTGTACCACTACGGGATTTGAATCGACAATTGTATCTCTGTGCAAATGTGGTATGGCAACTCGAACTGATGTATGTACGTCCGAAGTTCTACGTTGTTACTGACTGACTGACTAAGTGTGTATTCATGGGCAGTGTTCGAGATGTAAGGTGTTTCAGTAACAAAGTAGGCCTCATGGAAACTACATAACAGATCCACGGTAAATAGATAAAGGACGTTAAGCAAATTTGTGAATTAGAAAACTCCTTCATTAATGATGCAAAGTAGACAGAAACATAAATAAATCGCTTACATTTTTAGGTGTAAGTCGAACTGCGACCAACTTGTATAACAGTCATCGACCAAGAGCCTGATGAATTTAGAAAGCAGAAAAAAATGAGTATTTTTTCGGAACAAAAAATACGAGTGACAAGATCAACCTGACTTACGAAAAACTTTAGCCATGATTTAGTAGTCTAGGGTTGTTAAAATTGAATTGTATTTCATTTACTAGCCTAGGCAAGTGTGCAGTTTATCATACGTAATGTGATTCAAATAAGTCTGTTGCATTGATCAGAATAAGTCCGATTCGCTCTATCATTACTTCAAGTTGATTTAATTATTGCAACTAAATTCAGGCAAATGAGCGAAAAATAACCAGTGCAAACCACGTAGTATTAATCACTTATCCATTAGGCAATAGGTGGGAGTTTGCATATAGATTGTTTAAGCAAACTAATGGTAATAACACTTTTTCCAGTTCACGTTAGGGCAACAATAAATACATCAGCTAAATGATCCAGTCAAGTCACCTGTCGTTTAAGGGGTTGAAGAACAAACACCAAACTTCCTCTTCAGTATTTTGATAAGATTATCAACTAAGAAGCCACACACTCCCATATGCTCTGAATAACACAAAACTCTCTCCAATCTATCACCATTTCTTATCTTTTTGGTGTCGTTTATTGACTACTACCTAATATTTATAACAGCATCATTGTATTTCGTACTATCGATCGAAAGACGTTTTCGCAGTATCTGAACTCAAACGCAGTAGCAAACAAGTAAAATGTATCACTAGAGACGCCGTAATCGAAGTTAGACAACTATATAGTAGTTAACAGAGGATTGTGATCAGGTGAATATAATCAGTGGTGTCTATGAACAACACCAAACTTTACCACCCACACCCAGATTTTCGATGTAATTTGGCAGGTACTTCGTTTTTGTCAGCCTCTCTGGCACTGAATAATAGTTTATGAGTTCTCTGATCAATCTACAGCATATATGTAGATTTTTATCACACAAAAACGCCACATCTCCTGAATATCCTGAACAAAAACTTGAGGGTGCTTGGTATGTTTCAAATACGTACATGTAAAATGGTGTTTCAGAACTATGTGTAATAACTTGCTTTGAAAATAAAAAACTAATTGGTTGGACTTCTAGACCCTTTTCTTTATCATTATGGCTGTATCACATTAATATGTTGGCCACTAACAATATTTGAGCACTCGCCAATCTACAAAAGCCCGAAACAATGAAGTAACACTTAAGATTTCGAAAAGACCATAGATCAATTATTACGATAATGAGCTAATCTATTATTCTTCATGGTGGATTATACTGAGGACAAACTAAAACACAGAAATGAAATTTTAAAAAATGAAAAAAAACAGAACAATAAAACGTTTTTCTAGATACTGATTGTAAATTTAAACGGTCAACCTACTGTCTAACACCATAATTAGCCAATTGTAAAATCATATGAAGTGCTTCGTCGGAACCTGCTGGGATAACAAAGCGATACTGAAAAATATTTAAAAGATAAGATCGTTGAATAGTTGGCGCGAACAAATTTTAAGTAATTTGTTGTACAGTATCTCGTCCCTTTAATGTCACACTTTTATTTGGTATTTGTTGTTGTTTCGTGGGTTTTCTCTAGCTATCTAATGAAGCATTACTCCTGAAAGCTTTATAATTATCAAGGCAGTATTATTTAAGTTTGTTAGTGTGACTCAATCAGTGTACATTAATCACGAAATATGGAATATATCCTAAAGAAAAACACAAGGTAGAAAATACTTTGGGAAAAGAATGACTCAAATCCAGATTATTGGGTAAAATCCAGATCAAAGTAAATATTAATTTTTTAAAAGTCGTTAAACTTATTACTACAGTCAGTCATATAGTGACTCTATATTCGCCTGCAAACAAAGATTTTCCTTTGATGGATAAAAAAGACCAAAACAGAAATAAATAAGACAGTAGTAAAATATACTTGACGAAAAATGGACCAGAGCACAAATGGGGACGACACTTAATCACGTAGTTACCAACATGCAGATTGATGGCTAATTATAATTTGTCTGTATCGGAAGTATTTTGGTTTTGAAGCTCACTATTGTAATGTTTATGACAACAATGAGTATACTAAACAATATTTTTTAGAGAAAATAGCCATCTTCATACATATTTACATATTTTTTGAAGCAAGATATCTTAAGACTATCTTTTAAAAGAACGGCTACCTAATCAGCATCAAAAAAATCAACCCAACGCATCAGCAGAACCAAAATCAAGTAGGGAAACCAACAAACGTACCACCTCACCATGTATAAAAGACATCAGAAACTACGAGATTATTGAAGCCGTTCGGAATAGTTGTAGCACACAACCTTGCAAAATCACTTCAATAAATTTTATGCAAACCAAAGGACTAAATGACAAAAGAAGAACTGAATATCATTTACAAAATAAATTGTTGCAACTGCGCAAATCATCATATAGGAAGAAGTGGATGACACCTTCAGCTTCGCCAGCACGAACATCAATCAGCAGTCAAACGCCATGACATATCCTCGCTTCTATCAATGCATGTGGACAATTGTTGACATATATGCGACTGGGGAAATGTTGAGATCGTATGTAGAGGAAATACTAAAAGCACCAGAGAAGTTTTAGAATCTTGGCACTCAGGTCAGTTGGTAATCAACAAACATACTGAAATCGATCCAATCTATCAGCCACTCAGAAGAATCATGGACAAATATGGGAATCAGAATCAAATCAATGGGAGATACAATCAGAATAAAGTAGACAATGAGAGGTTAAAGGTCAGCAATGACCAATCAAGATCGAGGTCGAGAGGACAAGGAGTGGGTTATATATGAAAAAATTCGAACACTTCACTTCTACCTGAAGTTTGTGCTGATGATGTCGTTCACAAGAACGACTAAACCATCCAGTTTAGAGGGCAAAAGTCCACCTAAAGATATTATCTGCTTAAAAATTTCGGCAACTGCAATGATTATTTGGCCAACTAATATGTAGTAGAATACTTAACGTCCTCTACTCCAAAAGAGTTCGCGATACTTTTAAGAATTAACAAGAGAGCTTGTAACAGGAAGGGGCCATCGAACCTAACACCCGATAATGCCCTGATATTACATATGATTAATTATTAGGTTCAACCTCAACAGAGCTGTTAAGATAAGGGGGCGCTCACAACTCAAATGACTGTCAAATAAATATTTCTTTACAAGAGAAGTACAAGTAACACGGCAATACAAATAGGCTAATAATACTACGCACTACATGACGTATATATATATATATATATATATATATATATATATATATATATATATATATATATATATATACTTAACCGTTGATTAAGTACAGTAAGTAAAGATGTGAATAAACTAAAAAGTACAGTAAACTATAAACAACATTAGAACATACCATACTTTTATCGAAATAGAACAGCTTATTCTCTGGATATTGGACAAAACTTACTGTTTGGTTGCGTGTTTGTACACAAGTTTTGTACAATCGTGATTGAAAGACAGACTATAATACTGAGATTAAACAAAGACATGGACATACAGTAATGTGAATCCAGGGCGTGCATATTTTAGTGCCAAATACGTTAGGATAAAAGCATAAGTAATTCAAAGTTAGGATCATCCAACCTGGACGTGACTCCTTCCCACTGACAAGAAAACAGAAATAATCTAAAAAGATTCGAGTTTCGAAAATGTCCATTCTTACGAATCACTTCTCTTTCCTTAAACGGAAAGTTGAATATTTGCCGAAGTTTCTCTGGTGTATAGCTACCACTTTCTAAAGATTAATCTATACAATCAACTCACTATCCTCCATTTTTCCAGGGTGAAAATCCTTAGAATCTCCAATACATGGAAGGAGGTACCAAGCTCATTTTTACAGCATAACAATCATTATCAAAGATACAAATTCAATGAATTGTTGAGTGAAGTGAACATTTGTTGGATTAGATTGTTTTTCGACCAAAAGAGATTGGTTTCACAATAGCTATAAATAGATGAAGCGCAAAACAAAAACATGGGGAGTAAAGCAGCGAGTTTTGAAGTTAAAATGAAAACAACCAAAAGAAGTATTAACAGCATTCATTTGTGTTTCGGCACTACCAGTGAAATGCTTGATGAATAAACTTCAATATTTACAATAACGGGGAAAACAATTGAAACTTTGAAGTGTATAGTGATCTTAAACCCAGTTTTACAGGACGCGATACCATGTATGTACCACGATTGTGTTCGATGTAAAACACCCACGGCTACTTTTAATGAACAAATAAACAAAATGCATATCTATGGTATTTTGCATCTTATCACATTCACTAGATGAAACACGTCTGACAATCTGTTGAGCTGAAAAAAATACATGTCGCTAAATTGAATTATGAGTTGTTGAGGGTTCCAAAACGAATAGGTTTAGCTCATGCAACTTATTTACATAAGTGTCTGTTTATGTACTCACCTGTGAACGACATATATTTCCTCTATATGCTAGTTATTTTATTTGGCTGTGCAAGTCAGAATAAGTCCAAACCCTTATACGTTTGTACACCAAGCTACTATTTTACAGCTTCAAATTCAGTGCGATGAACGAGACTACTATGCTTTTCTTCCCTGATCCATTGACTAGTGAGAAATCCAGTTTGCATGGAGACTTTGTAGGTCGTAATCCCGAAAGAATAACGTCTGCCTTTAAGTTGATCAGTTATGTAACGATCGAAACACGTATGATTTGTGAATTGAGTTACTATCACCGAACACAAATCGTAGAGAAAAAGTGTTGCGAATCACATAAACTAAGTAGAAATGGAATACACGGAAATTTAATGGACAGCATTCACTTAGAATAGCTTGAATCTACGAAATGCGTCGAAGTAAACGGAAGGAAAATCACAGACTGAACTGAGAAATAAGGATTGACTTTTTTCTTTGCATACTATATTTAGGGATTATACATCAACAAACCAGCGATTAGGTGGTTTGAAATTGAGTCTCTCCATGTCAGTTCCTTATCAATATTGTATTGATATCAAGCTTTCACTGCAGATAGTTTCGATCCTGAAGTAAATCCACTATGCATTTTGAAGAATAAAAGGAAGTTTAGGGATTAATGTACATTACTAAGTAGCGTAAAGGCATGGTCTGACAAGATAGCCGCGCTGTGAAATATCCTAGCCACCTGAATGCGGGACTAAATTTGATTATAAAACCCTAAGATGGTATTTGTTGTCATATTTGAAAATTATTGGGAATATATCGCGACCATCTTAGTAGCCACTTTGTAGTGTTGACGAAAGACAACTCCAAAATAAAATAATTGAACCGAATCCAATATTTACACGTATTTACATCATTTCGTTCGAAAAGATAAGTGGTTAGGCTTTAGGAAATCGATACATGTATACGAAAGATACCAATTACTTAAATAATGTAGAGAACTCTGAACTCGAATTCAGAGTTCGCATGTGATCACAACACCTTGATGTATTGAATTCTGTAGAAAAAGAAGAGTGTCCTACTCCATTAGTAAAGAAATATGAAGAGAAAACTATTCATACGTCATATTTGAATAAAAACATAGGATCTTCCGACTTAGACATTCAAATATGAATAGTGTTCAATACTTTTGTTTCGGTCAAAATTCAAATAATGGGGAGGTTTGTTTATCAAAAACCTGCTTCAGTTAAGAATGATATGAAGGAACAACTACCCAAATGCCCAGTTGAGTAAAGACGCAACGCTTACATTTGAAACAAGAGAGTTTGCAGACGACATTACATAGTTTCAATAACTGATGATCATTAAAGTTTGTTAAAATACTTGCTGCATTTAACACATGTGAACCTAATTTTATTGAAATTTGAAGGAACACTTGCAAAATGGATCCATATGAAAGGCTTCTTTGAAGCATCCATCGCAAATGTATATCATCCTGACGTTTGTGCTGATGTTGTTCGTAAGAAAAGTAAAAGTTCGATGACCAAAACACCCAGCTCGGACAATGAATTTCCACTTATGTATTTCTTTCTTTTGATAAAAGGTATTCAGTCTGTTGCTGAAAAAGTCACCTTTTCGTAGCCTGATTGTAGGAATTCAAATTGTTCAAATGGTTTTGGAGCTTTCGCTTAACAGTCTTCCGTGTCTAGCAGTAGGGGATCATCGATACCTCCAGGCAGGAACCTAGGTATGTTAAAAATAAAAGAGGAAAAAGAAATTGGTAAATCATAGTGTGATGCAGCACTTGGTTCTTAAGAGTAGGTCACGTTGCCTTTTGAAGGACTCCTGGGAAGTCGCTTGGACTAGCTCAGCCGGCAGCGAGTTCCAGTATTATGTCTACATTCCGTTTTGCTCTGTTGTGTCTCCAGTTTCTGGTTGTTACCCCTTAGGTCAGTGTTCGAACTAAGCTTAAGTAGGTGTTTAAGAGTATGTCCAGAAGTGTTGAGAATATTATAAGCCATAAATAGATCACCTCTAACACGCCTATACTTTAATGGGTAAAGGTCAAGTGATTGGAGGCGCTCTTAATATCGTCTAAACTTGAGTCCTCGAACTGATTTCATGGCTCGTCTCTGGATACACTCCAGAGTGTCCTTATCCCTTTGGAGTGAGGGAGCAAACACTATGTTTCCGTACTCTAAATGGGGACGGATAAAACTATTGAAGATTATATGGAAAGTTCTCCTGTCAAACCGACCGAAAATGCGCTTCAACATTATCAGTGCAAGGTTTACTCGGAAGGCGTTTTTGTCACAGTTAGGGTAAGACTTTAAATCGTAGGGCACCTTGACTCCAAAATCTTTTTCGACTTGGGATACTATTAGAGAGG